AGGAATTGGGAATAGGGGATGGCATTTTTACAGGAAGGTGGGTGGGAGGAGGTGTATTCTAGGTAGCTGTGGGAGTCGGTGGGCTTGAAATGGATATTGGTTTCCAGGTGGTTGCCAGAGATGGAAACAGAGAGGTCCAGGAAGGAGAGAGAGGTATCAGAGATGGTCCAGGTGAACTTAAGGTTGGGGTCGGAGGTGTTGGTGAAGTGGATGAACTGTTTGAGCTCCTCGTGGGAGCATGAGGCGGCGCCGATACAGTCATCAATGTAACGGAGGAAGAGGTGGGGTTTAGGGCCAGTGTAGCTACGGAAGAGGGATTGTTCCACGTAACCTACAAAGAGGCAGGCATAGCTTGGGCCCTTGCGGGTACCCATGGCCACTCCCTTTGTCTGTAGGAAGCTGGAGGAATCGAAAGAGAAGTTGTTGAGGGTGAGGACGAGTTCGGCTAAGCGGATGAGGGTGTCAGTGCAGGGGGACTGGTCGGGCCTGCGGGACAGGAAGAAGTGGAGGGCCTTTAGGCCATCTGCATGGGGAATGCAGGTGTATAGGGACTGGACGTCCATGGTAAAGATGAGGTGTTGGGGACCAGGGAATTGGAAGTTTTGGAGGAGGTGGAGGGCGTGGGTGGTGTCACGGACGTAGGTCGGGAGTTCCTGGACCACGGGGGAGAAAATAGAGTCGAGATAGGTGGAGATAAGTTCGGTGGGGCAGGAGCAGGCGGAGACAATGAGTCGACCAGGGCAGTCAGGTTTGTGGATTTTGGGAAGGAGATAGAAACGGGCAGTGCGGGGTTGGGGAATGATGAGGTTAGAGGCTGTGGGTGGGAGGTCACCTGAAGTGATGAGGTTGTGGATGGTTTGGGAGATGATGTTTTGGTGGTCGGGGGTGGGGTCATGATCAAGGGGGCGGCAGGAGGAGGAGGTGTCAGAGAGCTGGCGTCTGGCCTCGGCGATGTAGAGGTCAGTGCGCCATACTACAACTGCGCCTCCCTTGTCCGCGAGTTTTAGGGTGAGGTTGAGATTGGAGCGGAGGGCTGCATGTTCTGTGGGGGAGAGGGGTGGAGAGGTTGAGGCGATTGATGTCACGATGGCTGTTGAAGATGAAGAGGACGAGGGAGGGTAGGAGGCCTTGGGGAGGTGTCCAGGAGGAGGGGGTGTGTTGGAGGAGGGAGAAGGGGTCAGTAGTGGGAGGGTTAGGCTCACGGTTAAAGAAGTAGGCATGGAGGCGGTGGAAAACTGTTCAATGTCCAAGCGTGAGCAGTATTCGTTGATGTTTGGGTGGAGGAGGACAAAGGTGAGCCCTTTACAGAGGACTGACCGTTCGTCCTCAGTAAGGGGGAGGTTTTCAACTGTTTGTTTTTGTTTTCTTTGAAATTGGAACATCTTCCACTTGCTGCTTTTGTGATTGTTTGGCTTCCCCTACGTGCTGCTCAAATCCTTTCACTGGCTGACATTTATTTCTGAAAAGACTGTCTCATGAGTAATATGCAGATCTTATGTGTGCTATGCATCTCCACCTGTTTTTGCTGGTCTGTCATGAGCTTATTCTGATATTTCTGTAGTTGCTCCTGCTGAGTCTGCAATGCTGCAACTAAGAAAACTGTTGAAGGTTGTCTCAAGCTTTTTAGGGAAATGTAATACAGTAGACCAAATGTTTCACCTGTAAATTAACTTATTCAAAACTGTTCAGTCATGATAGGCTGCATCAGCATGATGTTTTCCATTGCTGTCCACCATATCATAATGATTTTGACCCATGATCAATCACTCATCAGGGACTGAATAACATTATTTAAAACCATCAGACCTGTAAGAAGTTAAGAAGCAGATGTTACAGCAAATCAACTGATTTCAGTGTGTGTGCTTGCATGCTTGCAAACCCTTAATAACTCCAGGAAGAGTTGCAATATTGTATACACAGAATCTCATTGAGACACCTTCATGGAAAATTCTCTTGAAAGGCAAGGTACACAAACAAGAGTTTTCCATCCTCGATGAGCTCCCCACAACCATGGTTCTCAGTGAGTTACTGCCTCAAGTACTTGGCCCTTGTGGTGATGGACTTTAGGATGGAGCTGTCACTATGGTTGCACTGGTGTCTGTGGTGGAGAAGTTGGCAGTGACTCAATACCAGAGAATGGATACCTCAATGGGATCTTTGAGGCATTTTATGTTAATTTTCTGCTATCTCTAGTTGGCCTCTCCTGCACATTGTGTCTCACTTAGGGCAACAATGTCAATGTCAAGGTGCCCAAATTCCTGAGCTGAGAGAGCAGCATGGCACTCAGATGGGACTATACCGATGGGCTGGGGTTGTCCACAAGGCTGTGGTTCAGGCTGTCAGAATTAATTTGGACACGTATGACAATTCGAGTTTTTAAACATGGATGACTGCTGCACTCTGGCAACCCCACATTTTCAGCACAGCAAGATTTTCATCCAATGGCAAGTGGTTTCTGAGATACTTGAGTGCTAGGATCTACAGTGAGATATTACAATAGTCTATGCATGCACAGATAAAAATGTATTTGTGACCTGTGGCCAGGAAAAGGCAACTGATTAAGAAATCACAACAGACACAGCAGGGTCATCACAGGTTTTCCTACAATGTGGAGTAGTGTCTCCTTCAAAGAACTCATATGATGCAGGTGTGGCTGACCCACAGAACCATACAGTCAAACAGCACAGAAATAGACCCTTCAGTCCAAGCAGTTCATGCCGACCATAATCCCAAACCAAACAAGTCCCACCTGCCTGCGCTTGGCCCATATCCCATCAAACATTTCTTATTCATGTACTTATACTTCTCTGCTGCTTCCAGAGATATGTACCACTTAACAATGCAAGAAAGAGGAAAGAATATTAGTGTTATAATGTGTTTGGATGATGTGTGTGGTTTAATCTGTAGAAGTACATTGAAGGTGCAGGCATTGGTTATGAAACCAGTGGTATTGTTGAGTGTCTGAGGTAGAGCATCTGAATTTTAGGAGCCATGATCACTGATGGGTGAGTGATGGGCATGTACTGCATTTAGCAGCAAGAAAGCTTGACAAGTAGGAGATCTCATTTGCAGATGCATTCACTGACATTGACACTACATATGAAGTCGTTACATTGAACATTTCCCTGCCATATTTCACTTCTCAGCATGTGCAAACCAATAAAGAAACCAATTAAGGAATCATCTTCTTTCAGATGTTTTTCATCCACAACATGATCTGTCTTTAGGTGCCCTTCATATACTTTTCAGGTAAGTGACCTGCATTATTTTTAAGTTGCAATATAGTACAAGTTCAAAGGAAAACTGAATCTAAATTCTACTTCTGTCTCCTTAAACCAAACCAGAAGAAAAACGTTGAAAACAAGCTTCTAAAGTAAAACATTCAGCAAATTTGCATTGATAGTATGCCTATTGGGTTTAGCCCTGAAATTAATTGTTGCTTCTGTTTCCAAATTTGATCAGAAATTCAAACTACTAGAATATTCTTCTTCCTTAAAATGTAGAAATTTGCATTCCCCCAAAGTCATGACAGTATCGGAAGTATGGATACAATTAGAGAAAATGTTATCTTAAACCTACTGTATTGTTTTCAGTCAGGACTGAGCATAAAATAAGTACTTTAAAGAACAAGATTAAATTAAAGTTTATAAACTGGAGTTGAAATAAAAAGGAAAAATCTATGAAGATTGGTCACTGAGAACTCCATAACAGATGTAAAGAGAAATTGTCAATTATAACGAAAATTTTCTGACAAGGTGCCACATCAAGGGGTATTGTGGAAACTAAAAGGTTACGGTGTAGGAGATTAAAGAAAGGCCTGGATAGAGCATTGGGTAGATAACAGGAAATGGGAAGTACCCATAACCACAGGGATGAGTGCAGGGGCTTCAAATTGTTACAATTATATTATCTTGGGACAAAACACAATGGTTTTTCATGAGGGTACATCAAATCCATCTCATTAGCTGAGCGTCTGAACCGGAAACCTCAGTCATGTGATTAAAACTGCTGGGTTTTAAACAGCTTTTAATAATACAGCTTTGACTTCTTTCATCAGTCAGCTTCCAAAATCAGAAGAAGACACATCATAAACAGCTCCTGACTTAGCCACTACCTACCTCTGATCTCAAACTCTCTCAAAAATCTGATTTCTGGAATGAATACTGTATTTCACCAAAGTGAACCACTTGCTAGCTTACAATGAATGCACCTTCAGCTATAATTTGACAATTTTGGAGCTCTTGCAAAAAGGGTAGCTTTGCAGAGCCAACTGAAATACACAGTGAATTCCTGGATTCTAATTTATGTGAACTAGTACATTTTATTTTAAATAATTGCTATTTTATGACATACATTTTCCTTATGTGCAGCTGTATGAGAAACTGTGTTGCATTCTATTTCCCCTGTTTTTGAATGAGTTAATAAATTCTACATTGATTTTACTCTAAGGAATCTACTGTCGGTACTTGTTTATTTGGATTGTGCAAACAGGAAAGATATTATTACTTATTTTTAAAAGGGAAAAGAAAATAAGAAAATGAATTACAAACCACCATTGTTACATACAGAACAGGACAGTCAAAATAATTCAATTCACCTCTTCCTCTTGTCTGTGAAAAATAGGATAAAAATGAATAGGAGGCACTTTAAACGCAGCAATACACAAAGTATCAAGATAAGATGTATTCTAAGCTACTGTGTGAAGTAAAGGCAAAAATTTTGAGACACTCTGGTCTTGCTCTTAGATATACTGATGCTGCCAGAAGACTGGAGGACTGTAACATCACTTTTCAAAACAAAAGGTGAGTGATAAAAGTGATCAATGTCACGTTTGCTTCAGATAAATGGGTTGTGGCTTCGTGTCACACATGAAGCTTGAAACTTGAGCACAATGTTTAGGCTGATATACCAACGTCATTTATGGGACTACAACCTTTTTGTTATACATTAATAGCCTGAAAATACAGCTTTCAAATAATCAGAAATTACTTATTTTCATTTCAGTTTGATCGTGAAACTTGGAAAATATAGAGTGCAAAATGGTACTTGAAAAGAATTAGAGTATGCATTCTTTCTTTGAAGAAGTGTATACCTTTATGAGTCTGCATCAGCTCCATCTCCAATTCAATTAAAGTTTGTTCATCAGCATCATTTTCAAAAGAGGGTTCATCTTGATCAATGCTTTCAACTTCAGAAATTTCAGCTGCAGCTCCAGACAGTGGGGGTGGAGCAGCAGAGTTTAGATGAGAAATATTATGTCTTTTCCACGAATTCAAAGGTTTTGTTGCAACTTGTGATGCATTATGTAATGATTCTACTGAAGTGGGATCCATTATTCTCCCAGAGCAACCCAGACTTCCTAAAAACACGAGAAATTTCAGTTACATCACAAGAACACAAGTAACTACAGTTTTATTTAAAATAATAGTCATACAGACTGGAAGCCAGTTATACATACTACTTTCTACAATAGTCCTGCCACAAACATAGTCTTTTCCTTATTGCTCCCTTTTCTCTATTTTTTGTCTTTCCTACTCTCCCCTAAGTTACACCTCTTTCTAAATGTTTCCAATCAACCTGTTCAGAGATGTTTCAGACTAGACGGGAAGGAACTTTTCCCCTTTTTTAAGGGGGATCAATGACCAAACGCATAGATTTAAGCTATGGGTCAAAAGGTTTAGAGGGGATGTGAGGAAAATAATTTTCATTCAGAGGGCAGTGGGAATCTGGAACTCACTGCCTGTAACACTGGTAGAGGCAGAAACCCTCATAACATTTAAGAAGTATTTAGATGTACTCTTGCGATGCCAAGATGCACAAGGCTATGGGCCAAATGCTGGAAAATGGGATTAGAATATCTAGATGGTTGCTTTTGACCAGTGCAGACTCAATGGGCCAAAGGGCCTTATTCTTGCTGTAGACCTCTATGACTGTCATTACATACCTCTGGAGCAAGTCTGACTTGAACCTAGCTTCCTGGCTCAGAAGTAGGGACACTATCAATCTCCTTTCTAATTCGATTTCCTGATCTTAATTTACTAACTCTCAGAACAACTTGATGCTATAATTCAACAGAATGATGCATTAGACTCTACTTTTTTTTTTCCCTATGATCTAAATAATCTAAATAAACTGAAATATTTGGCATTGCATACTCATTTTTATGCCCATTAGATAAGACCTTATCGCCCATTCTATTTTTATTTCCCTATTTGAAAGTGAGAATCTCTTTTTCTGGAATCTTTTTGTGCCACTTATCAAGTGGGAGACCTGTTTTTAAACTTGTGTCAGTAAAATTCTGAAGTCTTTTGCAAGCAAATGTATAGAAGCAGCCGTGGGATAATACTTTCTCTTCCACTGGGAAAATGACTTGTCACTGCCGAGTTCCTTTCCGCAGGGATAGTAGTAATGTCAATAATTTAGCAGGTGAGGACTGAGGCAGCAAATCTCCTTCCCATTATCCACAAAGAAGAACATTACATCTAATTTAGTCTCGCATATACAACACCAAAGAATAATTGCTGAGTTACCACTGTCCTCAGCTGTTACTTCCCACAATTCACAACAATTAAGATAACAGAGTAGAAGTCTGAAGAACAAAACTATGTAAAATGTCAACTTTGTACTCTGATGCAAGAGTACTAATGCTGCACAAGTGCAAACATCAACACCTATCTCAAATTCTCTGCTGAATTTTGTTCCTATTTGTCACTATTTTGCTTTATAATTTGAGCTCATCATGTAATATTTGTTTTCATTATTTTATAGTTCTGATTATCTAAGCATAATCATACATCCTATTAAATATAGAAATACAGTTGACTAACAAATGCACATTAAAATATCATACAGGTTTCTTACATCAAATATTAAAACAAAATTCTGAGGAAACCAGATACATTACTTGTTTAAAAAACAATTGCTTTTACTGAAATGTCAGCATAGTTCAATTGGTAGCATTATCACATCATATGTCAGAAAGATGCCAACAAAATAGAAAAGTGAGCTCTTCTAGTGTCCAAGCCAATATTTCTCTTTCAGCCAACACTAACAAAAGCGGATTTAATTTTCAGTCATTCATTTTTTGTTTCTTTAACTTTATGGACAGATTATCTGTCCTGTTTGCCTATGTAATAATATTGGTTGCATTTCCACATGAATCTGTTGGTTTATAAAGCACTTTGGAACATCCTCAGGGTTTGATAACATGTTACATAAATTCAAGTTTCTTGTTCTAGTTTTTTTTAAATCTAGAAAGCTATTACTATTAAAAGTTTTCATTTTAATTCTGTTCTGAATTGAATGAGTTGCAGAAGGCTGTACATTTTAGTATGTTTAAGATATGACTGCATCTAAAAAGCCTTACTGATATAATAAACTTAATCCTGTTAAATTCATCCTACCATCTAACTAATCTTTTAATAGATGATCTTCCATCACATTTCCACATCCAATGAAATTAGTAATAAACTTTCCACAAAACCTGTATTCTAAATGACCCAGCATACAAATAACCTTCAACTTATTATTCCAAGGTTATTTCCCAAAATTTCATGCCTGAACATTGAAAAATTTATAGTTGTTTTGAATGTAAGGTTTAAAAGGTAATAATGATTCGGGGCTGTCACTTTAATTCACAATAAAAAAGATTTAATGAAAGAGAAGAGAACCCTTTGGTAGTTAGAAGTGATATTGGACCGGAACCTGTAAAACCTACAATTCTGCAAGAGGAGGTAATCAAAGTTTAATTGTGGCATGGGGATTTCAATTATGTTAAAGTATGAATTGGGGTTAACTTTAGAATATTAGCTGTTTATAATTAATTGATGGTGCTTTTAGTTAGTTGTTACAGTGAATGGATCAGATGTTGGAAATTCCTTCTTCTGTTCAGAAAGTAACCATTGTTTTACTTTCTTTGAAATGAACCTTGAGGAAATATTCAAGTGCATGAGGATCAGGTATGCACTGGATGCCACAGTCAAGAGTGGAACTCTTCAAGACAGGCTGTAAATAATTAACACTCGGGTCATCCCACTTCTTTTGTAAGGTATCAACTAAAAGGAATAATTGCAGTTAAAAAGCAGCAAGTAGAGCTCATTGTTAACAGCCGCAACCCTAAATCCCCCATTAAAAATCAACATCTTCTGGCTCTTGCACTGCAGTCCCTTGAGCAAACATACCATTTAACTTCATAATTGTCTGTTGTAATTACACCCTAAATGTTGTGTGCCTGCAGACATTCCACTGAGCTCTTGTAGCACAGAGGTCGCGATCCTGCCTCTTGGTCAGAAGGTTCAGGATCTTGTCTCATCTGCACCAGAAATGTGTCACAGCATATTTGATATCATGCATCACTGGGTAGTGCACTGGAAATGAAGTCTCACTATTCCTGGAGTTGTCACAAAAGTTAAAAATTTTATGGAAGTAATGCATAGTTCCCAACTTACCCATCAGACAGACCCAGGAAACCATGAATCAGGTTTCTGAACTTAACAAGAACAACTGCTTGTTCCTAACTAGATGTTAAAAAAAAACTACTAACTGTCAACATATAATTCTTCGAACTAATACTCTAACTCCCTCTAAACCTGAACTCCACCAGAACGGAGAGACAGGCACAGACAGACAAACAACATGGATGTTGAGTGGAGGGAAATAAAATACCAGGGATACACTTCATTAGTTCCAGTCCTCAAGATTTGATGGAATGTTCCTTTTGTTTCCCAAGTCCTCTGTTTCTCTGATCTTTTCCTTCATGTTCCCCCGTTTCTTCACTGGAAATACAGAGCAACTCTTTTATGAATTATAAAGTCTCCGATTCATTAGTTAAAATCAACAGCTTACAGCAACTGGTTGGAGACACTAAACACTGACTTCAGGCTTGTGCATGTTACTGGAGAGACAGGCCTTTCAACAGTCTAAATGCTTCTAACAATATCGTTCACATCCACAAGCTGTTCAGCAACCCAGAAGCAAATCAGATAGTTGTTGTCAAGCAAATGGTCTGTGTCTTGTCAAGAGTCCACAAACCAAATCAGCAACCTGCCCCTGGCTGAATCTCACTTTGTACATTGACCCCTTGATGCGGGGCCATTTACAAGCAAATTCCTTGACTACTTGAACAAAGTCAGTAGAGTAAGAAAACAAAAATCAATCTTTACACTGAATAGGTTGATTCAAAATACTTATACACATGCTAGCAGCCTCTCATATACAGGATTCAAGATGTGATTCACCAATGCCTTAACAATTGAAACCTGAAGCATAACATCCTTACTTTTAAGTTCAATTTCTCTTATAAAGGTTAGTATTTTATTTGCTTTTTGCTTGCTTGCTGTGCCTACAATATTAATTTTGCTATTTGTGCACTAGAGTAACTGGATCCCTCTACTTGAATTCTGCAACCATTCTCCATTTAGGTAACACTGCTTTTTTTGATCCGTCCTGCCATAATGATCCATTGTACATTTTTCCTCGATTTACTCCATCTGCCATACTTTTGTCCATTCATAAAACTCTCTTGATTGGTCCGCAAACCTCCTTATCTCCTCTTCACAATCTGCTTCCCTACCTTTCTTTGTGTTATTTGCAAATTTAGCCAACATGAGTTCATTCCTCTCATCAAAGTAATTTCCAGACATTGTAAAATGTAAAAGGTTCCAGCATAGAGAGCTGAGGATGTTCTCTGCACATCCTGCCAAAGTCATATTTATGCCTGGCTTCTGCCAGCCAATCTCCTGTCCAAGCCATTCTAATGCCTCCTACAGCACATGCTTTTACTTTGCACAGTAACTTTTATGTGACAATTTGGCAAATGGCTTTTGGAATCCAAGTACAGGATGTGTACTGGCTCTCATTTATCTATAGCGTATGCAACACAGTGTCATTGAGTCATACAGCACAGAAACAGGCCTACTATGTCTATTCAGACCAACAAGCACTAAAATACATTAATCCCTTATACCTGCACGTGGTCCACAACCCATATAACTGCACAGTATTCCATCTCTGGCCTAACCAATGTTTTATAAAGTTGTAACAAGACTTTTCCTTGCTCCTGTATTCTGTACCATGGTTAATGAAGGTAAGCATCCCGTATTCCTTCTTCTACCTGTGCTGACACCTTCAGGGATCTACTGACTTGTACACCAACACCCCTTTGTTCCTCAGTACTACCTAGGGACTTACATTCATTGTATATGTCCTTCCCTTATTAGACCTTCCAAAATGCATTACCTCACACTTATCAGGAATAAATTCCATCTGCCATTGTTCTGCCCAATTCACCAGCTGATCAATATCAGACTGTAGTTGATATCAGACTGTAGCCTGACACCATCCTCCTCACTATCAAAATCACCAATTTTCATGCCTTCTGCAAGCTTACTAATTATATCTTCTACATTCACATCCAAGTTGTTAAAGTACATAACAAACAGCAAGTGCCACAACAGCGAATCCAATGGTACACCGCTGGTCACAGGCTTCCAATCACAAAAACAACCCTGCACCATCATGCTTCTCCTTCTAATTTCAAGCTAATTGTGGATCCAGTTTGCTAAATTGCCTTGGATCCCATGGGCTCCGACCTTTTAGACCAGCCTTCCATGTGGAACCTTGTCAAAGGCCCTACTGACGTCCATGTAAATCACATCAACTCCACTACTCTTATCAATATATTTAGTCACCTATTCAAAATCTCAATTAAATTACTGAGACAGGGTCTCCTGCTAATAAATCTGTGCTGACTCTCCCTGATCAATCCCTGTCTTTCCAATTGTTGAGTAATCGGGTCTCTCAATTTTCTTTTCCAATAATTTCCCTACCACTCACAGACTAACTGGACCTTAATTGTCTGGCCTTTCCCGCTGTGATTTGCTCACATATTAGCTCCTCTACCTCGATCTGACTGCTTGGAGGCTGTAACATAATCCCAGCAAAGCAATCGGCCTTTTTTCATTCCCAGCTCTCCCCACGTGGCCTCATTTGAAGAGCCTTCCAGGACATCCTCCTTTAATACTGCAATGATGATTTCCTTTCTCAATAATGCAATGCCCACAACTCTTTTACTTTTTCCCCCATTCTGCCTGAAACATCTATACCCTGGAATGATAAACTGCTAGTCTGCCCTTCCTTCAACCATGTGTCAGTGATTGCAACAAAGTCATATTCTAAGTGCATCCACTATACAGCCAAGCTCCTTGCATTAAAATAGATACAAATTTAGTTTTCTGGACCTTCCACGTACCTTATCAAGCCCATGTCTTCTTTACCTACTGGATGGTCCTAACATTCCTTCTATAACTGATTGGACCTTGCTTCCAACTTTGCATTCACTCTCTGCCACATCCCCTGCCAAAATAGCTTAGAACTTCCCCAACCACGTGAGTAAACGTCCAAAAAGCCAGCACATTAGACTCATTCCAACTAAGGTGCAACTTGTTCAGTTTGTACATGTCCTACCTACCCCAGAATCTGTCTCAATGTTCTAAAATCTAAAGCCCTCCCTCCTAGACCATCCCTTAGGCTACACATTCTGGTTAAATGGATGACTGTTCATACATTTTATTCAATACCCCTTGCAATAAATAATAACATTCTATTTGGACACAGTCTCAGATCCACTCCTCTCTCCCTTAAACTGAATGTAACATCCAATCATATTATGATTGCTTCTATTAAGAAGATCAATAATTAATCTACAGTGTTACACAATACCAGTTCTGGTATAGCTTGATTCAGGTCAGCTCTAGAACATGCTGCTCTAAGAAACTACCCCTAAAACATTCTATGAACTCTTTATCGAGGCTACCTTTGTCCCTCAGATTTTTTAGTTTAGATTAATATAAATTAAAACTGTCCACAATTATCACTCTGCATTTTGGTGGTGGCTAGCATGAGGGGACATAGCTTTAAATTGAGGGGTGATAGATATAGGACAGATGTCAGAGGTAGGTTCTTTACTCAGAGAGTAGTAAGGGCGTGGAATGCCTTGCCTGCAAAAGTAGTAGACTCGCCAACTTTAAGGGCATTTAAATGGTCATTGGATAAACATATGGAGGATAATGGAATAGTTTAGGTTAGATGGGCTTCAGATTGGTTTCACAGGTCGGCGCAACATCGAGGGCCAAAGGGCCTGTACTGCACTGTAATGTTCTATGTTCTATGCTCTATGTTCTATTTTGCTCCACCATATCATACAGTTACAGTTAGGGGGCTTACATGCCACTCCCATCAGTGATTTATTGCCTTTATCATATCTCTTATCTACCGAAACCATTTCCATATTATTCTTTCCTGACATTGGATCATTCCTTTCTATTGCACTAATGCGATCATTAACAAACAGAGTCACGCCTCCAGATTCTTGTCCTTCTTAAATATGCTATACCATTCAAGATTCAGGTTCTAATTCATGTCATCCTGCAGTCATGTCTCTGTAATGGCTTGGAGGTGTTGGTGTTGGTGTTGGACTGGGGTGGACAAAGTCAAAAGTCACACAGTCCAACAGGTTTATTTGAGATCACAAGCTTTTGAAGCACTGCTCTTTCGTCAGATGAAGTCTTCACCTGACGAAGGAGCAGTGCTCCAAAGGCTTGCAATTTCAAGTAAACCTGTTGGACTGTAACCTGGTGTTGTGTGACTTCTTACTCTGTAATGGCTGCCAGAACATATTTGTTTATTCTATTTCCACACTCAGTTCACTTGTTTTGTTTCAATTTTGTTTTGCTATGTACATTCAAGTACAAAGTCTTTATTCTTACCATTTTTACAACCTCTAGTTTTATCTGAGAACCTATTCTTAGATTTGTTTTACCTGTCTCTTCCTTTCATGGATTGTTTATTATTTCCTGTATTAATGCCTTTCTCTTTTTTCCTTGCATCTAATTCTTAACATTTCTAAATTTTCCCATAGTTAATCCCTTGCCCCATCACTTAGTTCAAAGCCTTCACTATTTCACTGCTTCAGGTGGTGGGACCACATCTGGAGTAGTGCGTACAGCATTGGTACCTTTATTTACTTTAATATCGTCCCAGTTGACACTGTTACCTTTCTGATTTTCTTCATTTCCACATGGGCATTCAGCATCTGCAGCTCAGCAAGCTTATTTAGCACACTCATATGTTCATAAGCATCAACAGCAAAGCCAACTGAGACCTGATTGCATTTTCTCTTATTCTGACTCAATGATTTATTGTCTCTTCCACCAGTGCAATCTCTCTCCAAATTCAGACAGCAGGCCTGGTGTGTAAGTTCCTACATATAGTAATATTATGATAACCATAAAGTCTGTAATTCTGACATGAATTGAGGGATATATATTGGTATAATACTGGGGAAAATTTGCCCAGCTCTTCACAATAATTCCATGGGATGTTTTATGTCCACCTGAGGGGACAACAGGTTCTTGGTTTAACATCTCATCTGAGAGACAACAGTGAAGTACTCCTCCAATTCTGCAATGGAGTATCAACCTTTATTTTTGTGCTCAGGTCCTGGTGTAATTCTTGAACCCACAACCTTCTGATTTACAGACAGAAGCATTAACAAATGAGCCACACTGCTGACGCTTAGTAGGTTAGCATGGCAACATGAAGTTGTTGGAGAAATCAAACCTAAAAATAGCAAAGATGCAGTATGATCTTAGTGATTGTGGACAGTGAAACTTGGACTCATCAAGCAACAAACTCAGGTTGACTATTATTGGAATAAAAAGCCAAGGAAGCCTGACATGGTGAGTTCAGTCTCACTGATGTTTGGCTGGAAATAATTTTCAGCTCATTAATGACTTTATAATTAGATAGACAGTGAGAACATGAGGTTTAAGGTGACGTTTCTTCATAAAGGGGATCAACAGTGCTGGTTTTGGAAGGAAACAATACTCAAGAGTAGAGTATGGTTGACAATGTCAGTGAACACTGATTGAAAAGAAAGCTGAAAGATTACGACCTGGATCAGGATGAAATTAAGGAGGTAACAGACCTCATGGAGAAAATGAGTTCAGCTAGAGCTAGGCTGTCAATGCAAGCTAATTGCTGAGCATTGTAAGATGGAAGCCATGATTTGACCAAAGTGAGGCATCAAATCTGGAATCATATTGAATTATTTTAGGAACAAGATACTAGGAACAAGAACAAGAACACATAAGGTGATAAAATTACCTTTTTAAAAAAAGGAAATCTTATTATTTGAATACTGACAGCCTACCTGTTGTGGATTTTGATAATAATGCCCATGGTGTCACTTTTGTGGATGTATGCCTTCCAAATCTACTTGAAGGTCTGCTCTGAATGTCATCAATTACATCATTAACAATGGAGTTATCTGCATATTTGTAGAGGCTGCTGCATGGTCGCCAGTCTCCATTTTCTAGAAAATTGGGAGAAAAAAAAGAAATAAATATTTATTTCAAAACGTGACAAGCCTGATTTTATTTTTTGGTGGCAAAAAAAATGGGTGATACGGATCAGCTTTTATTGGACAACCCACATGAAGTTGAGATGCAGATATTTTTATATCAGATTGTTCAAATGTGTTAGGATACCTCTGGAACAGGTGGAACTTGAAGCCAGACCTTCTGGACCAGAGGTAGGGAAGCAAATGTCCAAAAGTTGAGGTGTATAATGAGTGGCTGATGTCCATTGACACATCTTATCCCCATACTGACTGTTAAAATCAGTCATGTAGGGTGGAACAGGATCAAATGAAATATGATTTTACCAAATAATACCTATATAGATTATAAAATAGAAAGAATAGATCATATTGAACTTAAAACCAGTTACAGTTAAATCTACATTCAAGTATATTATACCTCCAATTAACTTATAGCACAGAAAACAAATTCAGCCAATTGAATCACGGTCTGAATTTTCCTTCGTATTAAATTGAGTGCTTACACATTAAGCTTCCACAAACAGCAGTTAGATAATGAACAGGCAATCTGTTTCTCACGACACTAATTGATGGATAAATTTTGACCATGACTAGGGATAGCTCCACAGATCATCTACAAAACATAGTTGCAAAAACGTCTAAATCCATCAAGCAGGAGGAGGGAGCCCCTGTTCAATGTATCATTTGAAAGACGGTACTTTTGACAATTCAGTACTCCAATGCAGTACTGAGGAAGTATCAGTTTTGATCTTCTTTTTGTGCTCAAGCCCTAAAACTTCTAAAGCAGAGGAGAGAGTGCTACCAAATGAGCTACAGCTGACATAGTGAATGTCGAAGACTTGGGCTATACAGCAAGGCACAGAGCAAGCACTCACAAAGAGAACAGGTAGGCGAATATGCTTAAAGAGATCCAGGAGCGCCCCGTAATTTAATTTAAGGTGGGAGACATAATTGCTTGAAAATTACCATGATGCATTTCACCCTAAACAATACGCTATTCATATTGCTATTTTCTCAGCAACCACCACTGGATTTTCATGGGATAGGAACCAGAGACTTCAAGTCTTAATGATAGTCACTTCAGTGAGGGTTACTAAATAAAACTAAGTTATATCACAGTTAGCAGAATAGAGTGTGTTCCGAGGACCATTTATCCCTTGACAAACATGATTTAAACAAAGAATCTAGACATTCACCTCGTGGCTTTTTTTGTGAGAACTCACTGTTTGCAAACCAGTTGCTACATTTGCTTATATAACATAGAAACATCTATTCAGTCTGTCAATTAAATCATGTGCAATTTGCACCATTCCTTCATTATTTACACATCTTCATTCATAATCCCATTATTCTTACTAACAAAAATGTTCCAATCTTAGTCTTGAAAATTTGAAGTGTGGCATTGTCCTGAACCTTTGACAGAATGAGTTCCAGATTTCCACTAATCTTTGCATGAAATAATTTTTGCATGAAATAATCTTTACAGATTTGACTTGTAAATACCTTAGCTCCCATTATAAGATTATGCCTACTTACTCTGGATTTTCCAGAAGAAATACTGAGTCAGTATCTACCATACCCCTTAATCATTTTAAACATTATACTTGCAACATGCAGCCTTCCAAACACAAGAGACCTGTCCCTATAATATATCCTTGAAGCCTAGTTTCATTCTGGTGAATTAGCCTTTTCCAAGTCTTAAATACAATGATACCATTTTTTTAAAAATCCTTTCTCAGGACGTAAATGTCAAAAGCTAGGCTAACATTCATTGCCATTCCTAATTGCCTTCAAGATGGTAGACAGCTGCCTTCTTCAGCCACTGTAGTCCATTTAGAGGAGATGATGAGTGCGTGCAGGTGGGTGGGTGTGCATAGATTTGATTAGGCAATGCTGAAGGAATGGCAATTTCATTCCAAGTCAGGATGGTGTCTGAATTATGCCCATTATTGTCCAGAGATAGGTGAGATCAAATGGTTGCTGCTCAAGACACAAATATGTCATGCTTGACATAGAAAGAAAAGAAGGAAATGTGCAAAAAATATTGAAATCAAATATTGTACACATTACAGCAAAAGCAGCCTGGCTCCACATGCATGTTAACAACTACAGTTATTCCCACATTCATTCATTTCAGTACAAAATTACCAGATGGCACCCAGCTCATTATTAATGGATGATACTAATGATTCAATTGTGCAGAATTACAGTTGTGGGAGGTCAACTGGGATTGATGTTCACTTTTCCTTGCAGAAGATTTAAACTGATTTTAGAGTAGACGGCAAAGGAATAAGGTTGGTATTGAATGGAATTTTAAGATCTCACATTCCATCATTAGGAAATAAAGATCAGCATATGACCATTAAACATTTTGTTTTCCTGAGAATGAGGGCTGGAAAAGCAACAAGTTAGGGAACGGAAATTCCATTCATTCACTTACAGTTTGATACTATGTCTAAAATCAGGAATAATTTCCTCAAATAACTGCTCATAAGGTGCTAGCGGTTGGAAATAAATGGTCAGAATCTCAATCAGGAGTATGCTTTAGATTTGGTTCACTGTTCGATTGAAAAAGCAACTTGATTCATTAAACTCTCAAAGCAAAACAGAAAAATCACACGGCTGCACCATAACATCAAAGTAGCTTTTTACCAAGATGAATTTTATCTTTTGAAGGACAGCAGCATTGATGTAACATTACAAGGCACTGTGGCTTGGAAACAAGATATAGAAGAAGTTGAACTCAATAGTGAGTCCAGAAGGCTGTAGAGTTCCCGAGTGGAAAATGAGATGTTGTTTTCCCACCTTGCGCTGAACCTCACTGCAGCACTGCAGCAAGCCAGAGACAGAGATGGTGGCCAGGGAACATGGTGATGTGTCGAAGTGGCAAGCAACTGGAAGCTCAGTTGCTGATAATTCAGCACACCACCATGTTCCCTTTTCACGAACAGGCTACTCAGAATAATCCAAGACACATAAGAACATATGAATTATTCACCATTCAATATGTTTATGGCTGATCATCCGAGTCAACACAACTTTCATGCTGATACATTCTCAGTGATGGGTTATTATAGAATCATAGAATCCCTACAGTGTGAAAGCAGGCCATTCGGCCCATCGAGTCCACATCGACCCTTCGACGAGCATCCCACCCAGACCCACCTATCTAATCCCTCTAACCCTGCATTTCCCATGGCTAATCCACATAGCCTGCACATCCCTGGACAGTATGGGCAATGTTGCATGGCCATTCCACCTAACCTGCATATCTTTGGACTATCGGAGAAAACCAGAGCACCCGATGGAAACCCATGTCGACACGAAGAGAACGTGCAAACTCCATACAGGCAGTCGCCCAAGGGTGGAATCAAACCCAGGTCCACTGTGAGGGAGCAGCGCTAATCACTGAGCCACCTTGTCGCCCCATGTTATCCAGCAACTCTCTGGGATAAACAGTTCAAAAGATTCACAACTCTGAGTGAAGTAATGTTTTTTCGTCATCTAAATCTTAAATTAATAACCCCTTATACTGAAACTGAGTCCCATGTTCTAGATTCACCAACCAGGGAAATTAATCCCTTGAGGTCTTCCCTCTAAGGCTGCTTCAGAATCTTCTATGTCTCAATGAGATCATCTCTCACACTTCTAAACTCCAGACAGCATTGGCCTTGTCTACTCAGTCTTTTCTCACAGCTCTCACCCAAGAAACCAAAACAGCAATGCAAACCTTAAAATTACAGGGATGCCAACAAAACTGAATTGCTAGCTATACTGGAAGCCACACTCAAGACCAACAATATCAACGAAGAAACACAACAAACTATAAGACAGACAGTAGTCCCAACACTAACCAGAAAGAGGGAACTCAACACCCTCAACACACGGGAAAGACAAGCCCTGGACAGATTAAAGAAGGACAAGAACATCACTACACTACCTGCAGACAAAGGGCGCATGACAGTGATAATGAATAAAAAGGACTACATCTCCAAGGCACAAGCACTGCTCGCTGACGAGAACACATACTGACCAGCACAAACTGACCCGACACCACAACTAGGCATCAAAACCCTATACGCGCTACAAAGACTTAAACAAACAGGAGAGATCAACAAAACAGACTTCTTAAGAATGAAACCTGAAGGAACCAACACACCCCAATTCTACGGCCTCCCTAAAGTGCACAAGCCGGAAGTCCCCCTCAGACCCATAGTCTCCCTACCAGGCACTCCATCGCACAGATTAGCCAGAGAACTACAAAGAAGACTCAAGCACCTAGTCAACAAATCACCCCACTCCATCCACTCAGCCCAAGAATTCCTCAACTCCATCAAAGACGTAAAGATAGAGGACGAAGCGACCATGATATCGTTTGTTGTCACCGCCCTATTCACATCAATAGACATACCACTAGCAAGGAAAACAATGACAACACTACTTGAACAAGAACATTACCCCAGTGAGACCATCTCCAAAGACACAATGCTTAAACTACTGAACCTATGCCTGACCACCCACTTCACTTTCAACGGCCAAACATACGAGCAAATCAACGGGACACTCATGGGACCGCCTATCTCCGGACTCATAGCAGAAGCAGTGATGCAAAGACTGGAAAGGACTGCCCTTCCGCAAATCCAACCTAAACTATGAATACGCTACGTAGACGACACCTTTGTCATCATTAAACGGACCAAATTAGAAGAGACACACAAACTCATAAACAACACCCTCACCGGAATAAAATTCACAAGAGAGGAGGAGAAGAACAAACAACTCCCATTCCTGGACGTCATGGTAGAGCGCAAGACAAATGGGGAACTGCAAACGAAAGTACACCGAAAAGCCACACACACAGACCAGGTATTGAACTTCAATAGTAACCATTCCAGCACACACAAACGAAGCTGCGTGCAAACACTATTTAAAAGTGCAACAATACACTGCAGCAGCACGGAACTACGCCAAGAGGAGGAGGAATACCTCTTCCAAGTATTCAAGGATAATGGATATCCAAAGAACTGGGTCAGGAGATGCCTACAGGAACAGCCTCAGAAAGATTCTACATGCCCCGACACACTCATCACACTACCCTACATCAGGAACACGTCTGAACTCACTACAAGACTTTTATGACCACTGGGCATCGGAGTGGCACACAAGCCCACATCAACCCTACAACAAGTGCTCACCCGAACTAAAGACCCACTCCCCGCCATGAACAGGACCAATATCATTTACAAGATCCCCTGCAGAGACTGCGAGAAACACTACATCGGACAAACAGAAAGGAAACTAACAACAAGAGTACATGAACACCAACTGGCTACAAAAAGACACGACCAATACTCACTCATCTCAATTCACATGGACAAGGAGAACCACGACTTCGACGGGGACAACACCAAGATTCTGGGACAGGCTAGGCAGAGACAAGCACGAGAATTCCTGGAAGCATGGCACTCCACGAAGCATGCTATTAATATACACATTGAACTCGACCCCATATACATTCCACTACGGAGGAAACCCGGAAGTGAGGCAATCCATCGCAACGGACCCCAGAGTTTAAAAACCAGGCAGGAAAACACACCGACGCTTCATCAGAGGCTGCACCTGAGGTGTTACCAAGCACGGTAACGAAACGTCTGCAGAACAACAAACCAGCTCGGCGAGCCAACCAACCTCAACAATATTATTTCCACAGTGTGATGTGTTTTACACTGCATTGATACTATTATATACAAAATGGCTGGAGTTGAAGGTAACAAGGTTGTGAATAACAAACAAGTAAAAAAGCTATTCTTTATGAATGGCTTTATAACATGTTATCTGTATTGTAGGGAGATCACATTCCTCGTCCCCACTCCCGATCTTATGATGGAGGGAAGGACATTGCTGAAGTCAAAAAATGTTGGAACAGTAGCTTGAGGAACTCCTGTAGCAATGGCCTGGAGCTAAGATGATTGGTCTCCAAAAACCACAAACATCTTCTTCTGGGACAGATATGACCCCAACCAGCACAGAGGCTTCCCCGCTCCCACTCCGATTCCCACTGTTTCCAGAGGCTCCATCATGCCACAATCAATGAAATACTGCCTTGAGATGAACAGCAGGAGTGACCTGCCTCACCTCTAGAATTCAGCTCTTTTGTTCATGTTTGGCCAAGACCACAATACAATCTAGGGAACGATAACCCAAACAGAGCAGCAATTATCACTGCATCAGTCCTGTGAAATTGCACCATTCATAACACCTTCCAGCACTTGCTGATGATTAAGAGTGGAATTATTTTTCTTTATCTAGAAAGGTCACACCTGTGAAATTTTCAACATTGTTGGATGGATGCCAGTATTGCTGCTGTATTGAAATAGGGGAACAGTACAGTCTTCATATCACAATGGAGATTTTGTCAGGATCCATGGCTTTGCTGTATCTTGTTATCAAGTAGAGTGAATTGAATTATTTGAAGACTGTCATCTATGATGTGGGACCCTCAGAAAGATATCCTTTCAATCAACTTGACTGAGTTAAAAATCAGTTTGGAAAAAAATACTCTGACCAATTACGTCGCTGTACTTATTTTCTACATTTTCTGAATGATGGCAGTATTCCAAATAAGAGTTGCTTCAGTTTATAGTGATAAATGACTTTTTAAAATACTCATTGCAATAACTGGTAGATACAGCCCAATTTGATGTCTGCCCTGAGTTTGTATAAATACAGAACATCATACAATAAATCCTCTGTGCTCTCGAAATCACAAATTGCAAATTTACCTATCGACGCCAAAATAAAACAAAAAAAATCTGTGGGGCAACAGTCACGTTTCTGTGATTTTTAAGCTGGTTTTAACGAGTTAAAAATGAATTTCATTACTCATGGGGGTTCTCAGGAACAGATAAGAAGGAATGACCATACCTTTGATCAGTGTTTCTGACATTTGTTTATTGTCATTGATTACTCGTCTTGGAAAGGGCTCTGTAGCAATTTGAGCAGGATCCAACTGCAAGGTGAAGAAACCTTCCAATCCCAGGTAGTGGCCAGTGTCAAAATCTTGGCAATTGGCGATCTTAAGCAATTCCTAAGATTAAAATATGATATTGGAAAAACATTTATGTTACATTATAAAAATGTACAAGTTTTAGGACGATCACGTCAGTGCCAGGAATCTGTTCCAAACATATTAAACTTCAATATAACCAGCAATCATCAATTACTTTGCAATTCCATCTATGTAAGCATTGGCCATTTACTCATAATGATACTTCGTATAGGTATTATTTTTAATACACAAGTCATAAGAAGTGAATGTTATATTTTCTATTGTCAAATATTTATCTAAGATATACAAGTTATAACACAGAAATGCTATTTCGCAGATATATTCTGATGAATCTTTTCTCCTTGCACTCACCAGAACAATTTGCTAAAATGCAACTGAACACTTTAAAAAAAAATGAAGGAGTTAGTTTAAAATGTAAGCAAAGCTAGGTAATTAACTCATTTAACATCAATGCATGCATTCTCCATGGCAATGCCTCTACCAGTCAGGACTCACTAGCCAACCAATCAGCAATCTTCACTCATGCAATATAATTGTTGGTTTCCCCCTTCAGCTGGTAAAAGGAAAAAAAAGGGGCAAGTATGTTCAAGACAATTTTCTTCAGTAGTATGTTTCCACTCCAACAAAAGAAATCACTGTTTTTTGGGAAGGAGGTGGACTAAATATCAGGAGGAGAATATTTAGGTGACAATGATCATTCTATAAGGCTAATGTTGACTATGGTAAGGACAATGCAGAGCAAGAATAATTAATTTGGGGCAAGGATGAATCAAGTACAGATAAATTGGAATCAAAATAATGGTAGTTATGGTTATAACTGCACAAAAGGCTGCCTTTCTTTGGACAAGGTCAAGGTATATTCACATCAAGGAAAAAAGGTAGAGACAGCAAACCCAGAACTCGCTGGGTAACAAGATATAGAGATGAAAATGAATCAGAAAGTGTGCTTACGACAGATGTTAAATGGATAACACAAACAAGAACCCATGCTAAATATGTAATGTTCATAATGGAATTGAAAAAGCAAACAAGAGAAGCAAAGAGAATGTACAAGAGCGACTGTCAGTTTTAAAAAAAAGTCCAGAATTCTTCTATAGCCATATTTAAAAAGGACTTTGACAGCCAAAAGAGGGATTTAGGCATGGAGACAGAGGGCACAGCTGAGATATTAATTGAATATTTTTTGCATCTGTCTTTAACAAAGAGGAATTTGTTACCAAATTACGTTGAAAGCGGAGGCAGTTTATTGAAGGGTATGGTTAAAATAGATAAGGGAGTAATATTGAATAGACTGTCTATACACAAAGTTGAAAAGAGGCCAGGATTAGCTGAGATGCATCCAAGGGTACTGATGGAATTAGAGTGGAAGTTTCAGGGCTGCTGGCCACAATGTTTCAATGTTCCTCAGACATTCATCTGGTGTCAGAGGACTACAGAAATGCAAATGTTGCACACTTGTTCACGAGTCAGATGTAGAGATAAGTTCAACAACCACAGGCTAGTCACTTTAAATTTGGAGGTGGAAAAGCTTCAATGGAAATAATAATTTAGGACAAAATTAATAGACATGAATAATTAAGGAACGAGCATGGTCTTGTTGACTTTTTAAGTTGAATATGTGCTACAATTTAGATGTGTGCAAATTTAGAGCTTATGTAATAAAAGGGATGGTAGCAACATGAATACAAAATAATCTGAGTGACAGGAAACTGAAAGTCATGGTTAAGTTCTCCCACCTCACTGACTAACCCCCATCCCCACTTCCTACCTACACTCACCTACGAGCTTCAGCCCAGCCTCCTTGACCTGTCCGTCTTTTCTCCACCTATCTGCTCCACTATCCATCTTCTATCACTGCCTCCCCCTTCTCTATTTATTTCAGAGCCCCCTTCCCCTCCCCCATTTCTGAAGAAGGGTCCAGATCCGAAACGTCAGCTTTCCTACTCCTCTGATGCTGCCTGGCCTACTGTGTTCATCCAGCTCCACACCTTGTTATCTCAGACTCCAGCATCAGAAGTTCCTACTATCTCTAAGTCATGGTTAATGACTGTTTTACAAATTGGAGGAATGTTGAAATTTGAATTTCCCAGGGTTGGTGTTAGGATCCTGATATGTATTGACTTAGATCTTGTTCTGCAGAGTACGATTCAAAATTTATGGACAATGCAAAATCTGAAAGTATTATGAACAGTGAAGAGGATTGTAAGAAACTTTAAAACACATACAGTTTGGTGAAATAGGTAGACAAATGGCAGATGAAAAATAATGCAGTAAAGTGTGAAGTGATGCATTTTGGTTGGGTGAATGTAGGGAGACATTAGTAAAAATTGTCCAAGCCATTGAAGGGGACAGGACAGGATGAGGGAGCTGTTAATAAATCATATAGTATCTGAGGCTTTATTAATGAAGGGCAGAGTGTACAAAATCAAGGAAATTACATTAAATTTGATTTGTATAAAGCAATGGTTAGAATTAGAATAGGGAGTCCAGGTCCAGACACCATACTTACGAAGTATAAAAAGGCTTCAGAGAAGATGCAGAAAAGATTCACAAGTTGGTTCCAAGAATTAAAAAACTGCAGTTACTTAGGTTTTGATATTAAACAGGCAAGACAGGCAGAACCTGAATAACATTCTGGTTTGGGTCATAAGTGTTCAGTAACGACTACCTCAAACAAGAAATCTTGCAAACATTTTTTTTTAAAAGCTACGAAGTGGAAATCCAAAGAGAAATTAAACAACAACTCAGCTCATTGAGTTTGTTTTTTCCAAAAGACCTTATACGATTTGCATAATTTAACTCTTTGTGGGTAAAATTCTGAGGCATGGCTCAAATTTAGTATTCGTTCCACAAAAGAAAATTCCAAAGTTCCATTTCAACACTGTAATCTGAAAAGTACTGACAATACAAAGATAGGGCATTCTGCACATAAACCTCCTACCAATGACCACTGTAATATTTCTTTCCACTGCAGATCTCCAAGGTCCATGCAAGACAGCAGTCAAACAGAAGCCAATGCATCAAAACCCTGACTTGCATGCGCAGAACCTCCAGCGGCTGCATGGCCACAAAGCTTACAGAAAACATTATCTCCCACCCTCTTCATCTAACCCTGCATAAATCCCTTTTTTTTGCCTTCTGTGCAGATTTAGTTTCCCCTTGAACTCATGTACTTGCTTTGACTGGGCCTCATGGAAGTGAATTCAATATTCAAAATGCTCTAAAGAAATTTCTTCTTAATTTGCTCTTTGTTCTCGAGTACAAAATGTGCTGTCTCTTACTATTGAAGTTAATTGCATGGTCATTCTGCTATTGTATTAACGTGTTTGTATATTTTTGATTCATTCCACAGTTTGACAGCATCTACAATATTTAAAATTGAGGTTACGATTCAAATTGTTTATGCAAACAATGAACAACAGTGGTCCTGGCACAGTTCCTTGTGAACCACTAATTTCAGTGTTTGCCAAGGAAGAGAAATATTTTCTCAGTCCTACAATAAAAACTGCAATATTTCTACTTAAATGCTGTTCTATGCATTCTGTGGACATCAGATCAGTGTACCCCAAAGATCCACTGTGAATGTTCTTAATTGTATTTTGGAAACTCTCTCATTATTAAATTGATCATTATCCAGATTCCAATGCAAGAGATAATTGAAACAGTATTAAATCTTATTTCAACAGGACTCTGCCCAACATTATTTATCCAACAGATGTAATCATCAGCAATCTTTAAAGAAAAATTGTATTTTATGTACATCAGGCAAAATAATTATACAAATCCAAAAACCTAGCAGTATTACATTTTGCCTTCAGAAAGACTATGGCCTAGATCTTCCAATTGGAAGACAGTTGATACAGCAATGTTTCCTGAATGATGTGCTACAGGACCGCTCAGCAGTCCTGACACTCTAGACAATCCCCGAGTAGTCAGTAAGTTTAAAAGTCCAAAGGGCAATTACCCAATGCCTGGAATGCTCCAAAAAAAGTCCAAAACTGAGTTAGAATCGCAGACTTCTAAAGGTTGCAACTCACCCAGATAGCTACCTACGAAAAGATGGGATTAAAACCTGCTTTAACCACTAGGGAACCGTAAAACATCCCCTCCCAACACAACTGATCCACCACCTTCTCAACCACTTACCTGTTCCTCATTTTCCCTCCTTTGTTTGTCAAAGTTCCTTTGGAATATTTAAACCCTGGAATACTGCTATAAAAGTTGTAGATTGGCCTCCAATCTGATCCTGTAATTCAACGTAAAGCTCCAAAATCAGGATGCTTCATATTTCATAAGCCCCAAATCAGATGTGTGGGCTGGAATTGTAGGGGCAGGATAAGGAAAAAGTAGCTCAGTGGCAAGTTGATTAGAATTGCCACTTCTCAGAAGATTCGACCTGTGTGTTTCCCCGACATGGGTTTTGATGGGAATAGGGCGTCTTAATATTATTAAAAGTAGAAATCATGATGAATCATTTCCTTATCGAAACATAGAAGATAGGAGAAGGAGGAGGCCATTCAGCCCTTCAAGCCTGTTCTGCCATTCATCACTACGATGGCTGATCATCCAACTTAACAGCCTAATCCTGCTTTCTCCCCATAACCTTATATCCCATTTGCCCCAAGTGCTATATCTAGCTACCTCTTGAATACATTCAATATTTTGACATCAACTACTTCCCGTGGTAATGAATTCCACAGGTTCGCCACTCTTTGGGTGAAGAAATGTCTCCTCATCTCCATTCTAAATGGTCTACTCCAAACCCTCAGACAGTGACCCCTGGTTCTAGATACACCCACCACCAGGAACATCATTTTTGCATCTACCCTGTATACTCCTGTTAGAATTTTATAAGTCTCTATGAGATTCCCCCTCATTATGCTGATTGGTAAGCACAGACTTTTGTTTATCCTGGAATAATACATCCAGGAGTAAGAATAAGATAGCTAATCGTAAAAAATTATCTAATAGGAAATTAAAAAAGAAAACAAAACACATACAATCTTAAGTCTTTTACAAATTTAGGACCACTGCTTGTGGTGCCTTGTCTGAAAAATCTAGAAACGTTCATTGCCTACTTAAATATTTTTAAAACCATTGAGGGTGGGGGGATATATCATTATTGAGTGAGAGGCATATGCTGGATTTGAGCAGGATTCTAAGCAATGCTCTACAGAATTGCACATTTTCTGTTTTGTAAAGTTATTATGGTCTAATACTGTCATCAATTGCGACTACTAGAGTACACAAGAGGATAGAACAAAATAAATAAAACAAAGATCTCTTATATAATTGTTACACAACAAAATCAATATTTCTTCTAACTTATGAAGACGGGGTAAGAAGATGACAGCATGTCAAATGTAACACATTGTAAAAGTTAGGTAGAAACTTAAGATGGAACAAGCATTGTTTTATCTTTAGATTAAAAAAAAGAGGTTAGCAAGACACACGACAGAACATTTGACCATTGCTCTTGCACTAGTTCTTCAGATGGAACTATTTCCTCAATACCAATTTTTCTTATTTCCCTGGATGTTTTGTCATTTATTTTATAAATTTATTCAGCTGAATTGTAATTTATTAAGTTCATTTAAATGAACACACAGTAAAATCCATGTTCTAATAACCTTTCATTCCAAGATCATTTGTTTAATAATGTTGAATCTGCATCTCCAACTCACCAGCACAGGAAACAATCTCTCACTAGTTGTCCTATAAAAAAAAATTTGAAACCTTTCAGTCGTAGAGATTTTTCTTCTTTGTTACAATGAGAAAACCTTATTTTATTGACTGTTTCTTTCTGAATGAAGCCTCTTATGCCTAGCATTGTTCTACTGAATTTTTCACATTATTTTCATAGTTAAGAATGCTTGCTGTAGAATGCGCAGAAATGCATGCACCTTTCTAACTTTGGCATCACTGATACCTTACACAAAAATCACTCCCTATTCTTGGTATTAACAGCGCATCTATAAAGCCCAGAACCTCATTTTATTTATGTTTTATTTTCTGTATGAACTCAACTTCTATGTATGTGAAGCCTTAGAATTCTTGAATTCTTATCGCTGCGCCCTTTTCTCGCAAATATATGTCACATCTACCTTCATCAAATTGCTAATGATGCGTCTTCTGCTGAAGCATCCATATCTTTCGGTGTTCCCCAAATTGATGCCAAGCATTGATTTTATTTCCTGTGTATGCCCAGTTGATTTAAATAAACTAAAAGGAAAATAGGGTCTAGCACAGTTATTGAGGAACAGAATTCGCATTCTCTCAATTCAAACTTCATCCACTTATACTTACTATTACTTTCTTGCCATATCTCTATCTAACTTAGTTTGTTTTAATATCACTTGGCTGGAACATTTATAAGCATCTAATATTCATATGCTCTAAGTCATTCCTCACATTTGCAATAATGGAATAATAGAATAATATTCCTAATATCTGAGCAGTATTGCGGTTTGAACCCATGGGGGGAGAAAAGATCAGCTTAGCTGTGCAGTATTCTATAAAGATACCAACTCTATTTATGTTTAGCTGTTTAGTTTGACAATTAAACACAGAAAATTTGCGTTATGGCTTAAGGGATTGATTTATTACAGTACAAGACTTTGTTTTAAGAAATGTTAAACTCTTACATCAGATGGCTTTGCAGTGAGACCAGTGTTCTTGCTCTCTTCCAAATTGTCAATCTGCAGCTTATGGTCAAATTCCTCAGAAACATTCAATGTAGAAAAAGGGTCCTCAACTGCAACACTTGAAAACACCGAAGTCCTTGGAGATGGCAATATAGAAGTGATAACATTTGTTCTCTCAAGGCTTTGGCTTACAAATTTGTGACTCCTGTATGAATTACTACCACAATCAGGAGAGACTGCATCTATCCTTCCATCACAATGATTTCCTTTCATTACTCCAATCTGAGACAAAGACGTCTTGCTGCTTGGAATTGAATCTTTCTGGTCCATTGAATAATCTGTAAAGTTAGGTGAAAAACCTTGTACATCATAAGTGAATAATATTTGAGAAAAAAACATTTAAAAAGAGAGAAACATACTAAATCAACAATGCAAAGTGGCATAAAGACACAATTTTAATCTTTGATACAACGAAGGAGTACTAAATTAGTTCTGAAAAAAATTATATAGTAAATAGCTTCTAAAATTCAGCTCCAAAGAAAAATTATTGAGTTTAAAATGCAAAAGTTGTTTCACTCTCCATGGATGCTATCTGCGCTTCCGAGTATTTCAAGTATCTTATTTCAATTTTCCAATGTCTGCAGTACTTTTTTTTAGAAAAAGGAAAATGTACTCATGCATCAGATTAACATCAGCTTTGTCAATATCAAATTATACTAACTATTTTAAAACTTTACACAACCGGTGTATGAATGACAAAATTGTATCAACTGTGATTGAAGAAAATTATACACTAAGCAAAAACATCAATAACCAGGGATTACAAATTCAAAATGAAAAGAAATGCAATTGGGCATTGGTTTTAACAGAGGTTGAAAGGTCACACAGTTGAGGAATTGGCTACCAGAAAAAAGGAAGACCAAGACCGAAGGCCATTAGCTGGATGGAAAAGTCCAGCGCAAATCAAAAAGTTGAGAATTACAACTGTTGAATACTTCACCAACATGGAAAAAGCACATAACAGCTATTTGAAGATAACGTGTTCTCTTTTCTGTCTAGTCAGGAGGCAGCGTATACTACTTAAAAAGTGTTCCAATTGCTTTTTGTGTATCTGAATGTGAAAAAACTGTTGTCAGTAGTTGACCATCAACTCTGTCATGAAATACACAAATTCTCTGGATAGAAAATATTGTAGTTAATCTATGAGGTTAACACCAGCTTATTTGTGGCTAACAACAAATCCATATTGGTAGGATTCGTGGCTCAATGCTGGTGTCCTTACTTCTGACCTTGGGGGCCTGGGAGCAGTTCCCACCTGCTCTAGAGATGTATAATAATAGCTCTGAACAGGTTGGTCAGAAATTTTCTATTTTGTTCGGGATATTGCAGTCTTAATGGCCCAAATTGTCCTTTCTGCAGTGTATACAGGAGTTGCTCGTTGGATCCTACAAAATCCCCAAAGTAGCAGACTCCAAGGACACTGTCCAGGAAATTGAAGACATCGATGGGCAATTCTCCTGTGCTGGATTCTTCCAAAAGTATCTATTAAAATCATAGAATTCAGAGAGTTCCACTGTAATTAAGAGTTACCCAGAAAAAGTTAGACAATTAAACACTTAATCTAACTCCTGGGAAACTATTAAACTGACCACCCAACTTAGAGTACATATTCAACTACCCCTCTGACACTGACACTGACACTGCCGCCCCACCTCCTCCCACCACCCAACACATTCAAATTGGACGTGACACCCACTAGCCACTGCATCCCATCATACCTCCATCCCCTGTTCTGGAGCAAGCACTCTTGCTCTCCACTAGAAGTGACAGTCTCCTTCACTGCTAGACCCAACACCACCTTATCCCCAGGAACCCGACACAACCCGTCCTGCTGTAGCATACACTTCCCACTTACCTTGACCTACTCTAAGCAATCACCTATCTGCCACCTTACCCATCTTGTGCCTGGCGTCCCACTCTAAGCTTGCTTACCTGACATACCTTTCAAAGTGGCTTCCTGTGCTGCTGAATATTTAAATTATCGAACACCACTACTATTGCCCTGAAAAAGGGGGCAATGTTTGCCAACCAGCCATAAGTAGTCTGCATAACAATGAAACAGTTCCATTTAAGCTATGCTGCACATTCCTGCAGTAGCCACATGACCATAAGTTATTGCAGCAGAAGTAGGCCAATCAGCCCACCAAGACTGCTTTGCCATTCAATGAGATCATGGCAGATCTGATAACCCTCAACTCCACTTTCCTGCCTTTACCCTATAACTTTTGATTCCTTTACAGATTAAAAATTTGTCAAACATCTCAGACTTGGAAATACACAATGTCCCAGCCTCAACAGCCCTCTGTGGTAAAGAATTCCACAAATTCAAAATCCTAAGGGATGAAACTTCTCCTTATCTGTCTTAAATGTGTGAATCCTTATTCTGGTCCTAGACCCTCCCACAAGGGGAAGCAACATTTCCGAATCTACTCTGCCAAGCCTTCTAATAATCATGCATCTTTCAATATGATCCTTCATTATTCATTCTTCTACATTCCAATGAGTGCAAGCCAAATCTACTCATCCTCTGGTATCAGCCGAGACAGCCTCTCTGAACTGCCTTTCATTCCAGTATATCTTTCCTCAAAGTAGGGGCCCAAAAATGTTTACATTATTTCAGCTGTAATTGGACTATATGTACCATGTATATTTTTAGCAAAGCCTCCATTACCTTCAAATTAAGGGCTAACATTCCAGCTGCTATACCTATTACCTGCTAAACTTGGATGTAGTGTTTTGAGATTAATTAATATTTAGCTCCTCTATTCTTCCTGCTAAAGTGTAAAATCTCATCTTTTTCTACATTATATTCCACCTAACAAATTTTGTCCACTCATATAACCTGTCCATATCGCTCTGCAGATACTGTGTGTCATCTTCATCCACAACGAGGTGACAGTACATTCACTTTCCTCATCCAAGTTATCAACATGTATTGTAAATAACTGTGGCCCCAGCACTGATCCATGAAGCATACTGCTAGTTACAGATTACCATCCTGAAAATTCCCGCTTATTTCAACTCTCTGTCATCTGTTAGTTAGCCGTTCTTCTACCCACACTAACATACCACCTCCAGCACCATGAACTCTTATCTTATTAAGTAGCCCAATATGTGGCATCTTATCAAACATTTTCTGAATATCCAAATGTATTACACCCATTACTCCCCTTTATCAATCTTGCTTGTCACCACCTCCAAGAATTCTAGTAAATTTTTCAGGCACAATTTCCCCTTCATGATTCCATTCTAGCCCTATTTGATCATGGTATGTATTTTTAAATGTTCTGCCATTACATTCTTTATAAGGAACACTATTTTTCTGATAACAGACATTAAGCTATTGGCCTACAGTTACCAGTTTTTTTGTCTCCTTCTCTTTTTAAATAAAGGTGTTACATTGTCTTGTGAGGAAAGCTGCCAATCTGTTCATTCCAGATACAAGTCCAGTCAACCTTCTTGGAGCTGCTTCTAACGCAGTAGCATTCTTCTGTAAGTATGGTGACCAGTACTGCACATAGCAGTCCAGGTAGGTTAGTCTATAACAAGCCCTTCTACTTTGATCGCTTGATGTTTTTCCCACTGTCTGCAATGTTTAAGTGAGGAGAGTGATGGAATATTATCCTGGAGGACTGCAGCTGCAATTATACTGTTGTGCCATAACTGGGCATCCTATAACTGAAGAATGTTCAATCAATGCACAAAGAAACCTACCAAGGTTACTTCAATGCCTCTTCCCTGTGATTTCTACCATCCAGAAGGACAAGGGCAACAATGCTAATTCAACCCCAGCTGTCTCTAACTTCAGTGTCCCAACTGAAGATCAAACTTTGACTGTCTGAAAGCCCATCTGATTCACCACTTTTCCTTTATAGACAGAAATCCACCACTTCTACCCAGTCTAGTCAATACTTGACTCCAAACCCACAACAAAGCAGATGATTCTCAACTGTCCTCTGAAAAAGCTTAGACAGGCACTCAGTTTAAGGGCAATTAGGAATGGTCAACAAATGTTGGCCTTGCCAACAATGCTCATATCTCATGAAAAATACTGAAGAAACCAGTACAAAGCAGTAGTGAATGACATCCACCAATTCTCAAGATAATGACCAAAACTGCACTTGGATTGTTCATAGATTGAACACACTGCAACAACCATCACATAAAATTCAGATTATGCTATTTCCAGAGTTTTTGCTGCCGTATTAAATTCACTGCACCAAAGAAACAATGAATGTCAATCAATATCGAATTTGTTTTCCACAGCCATGTCTGGATGTTTGAAATATGGATTCAAAATTAAAATATATCAACATGCACACTTTTCAACGCTGGAGCTTCAAAACTGTAGTTAGAGAGTTCCTAATTAAAGCAATCATTATAGAACACATCGCTCTCTAAACTTGACATTAACCAATATTAAGCCAATGTTCTGCCTAAAGTTTCAAAGTTCAATTTATTATTTTGATCATTCTCACTTTGAATTAATTCCAATGCGCTAACATTATCCAAGTTTGGGAAAGTATCAGGTAATGTTAAAAACACTGCTAAAGAATATTCATGTCTGCAAGAGTTGAACAAGTAACTCAAAATATTTCACTGTATTACCTGAGCTTTTCTCTGCAGAAAAAGAGCATTTTAAATTCTAATAGTATAATTACTGGTATTGTGTATGGTGCAAAGCTGTATGAAAGTGTTACACAGGGCAACATCCTTGACACTAAAAACTCCAATCAAACCATCTTTCATTAAACTGACCAAACTTTGAGGTGTCACTTTATTAAAAGTTTCTAGAGATCCAAGAACAGCACATCCACAAGCTCCCCCTTATCCCTATTGCTTGTTAATTCCTCAAAAACTTTCAAGTTAGTCAAACATGATTACCCTTTCATAAAACTATGTTGCCTAAACATCTACATAACTGAACTGAGATATTCCAAGTTCCCCACCATATCCTCCTCAAAAAGAGATTCTACATTTTTCTAATAACAAATGTTGTTAGCTAGTCTATAATTTCCTGCTTTCCATCTCCCCCTTTTTCTTGAATAGAGGCTCACATGCACTATTTGCCAGGGCTCCCCAGTGCCACACTTGATCAAAAGCTGCCTTAACATCAAGGGTGGGCACTCTTAACCTACTCCTGGAATCCATTATTTTTGTACATGTTTGCACAAAGGTGGTAATCTGGTCTTCTTAAGAACAAACTGAGCATTGGTGAGGTTGTTACTTTGAAATCTCCGCTTGATAGCATTGTTAATAACACTTTTTCATTACTTACAGGCATAACTTCTGCTCTGAATAATGTATTGACATTGTCCAGATGTGCAATGTGATTCATGAAAGTTTAAACTGAAAGGTGCACTGTATATTCCAAATTCACGACTAGTATGGCCCTATAAACCCACAAGCAGGAAATCATGCTGTCTAGTATTCTGGTCAAATAAGTTACAGGGAGTTATTTGGATTAGAAGCAGAAAAGCACTTTTGGGAAATAGAAGAAAGAAAAGAAGCTACAAGGATAAATTGAAAGATAGGAGATTGCAAAGAAAATGAAGGTATATGCGGTTCTGGCCTTTAGGGCTATGGCTGGGCAGAGTGTGTAGTGATTGAATGAAGAATTGAAGATGAAAGGAATTAAGGGAAGTATTCTTTTGCCTTGCAGGCCTAGGGAAAGAGATGAAATAAAAGTGGCACTTGCTCTCATTTGACATTTGTCAGAAAGCCTGCAATACCTTCACTGTGCATGAGATGGTAGGACTTTGGTCTCAGTCATACCAAGCCCTTGGTGAGGGGTATGGTAGGGAGAATCATATCAAGGTGAAGGAGGTGAACATGTCAATAACGTTCAAATTTTTGCTACTTGTGGGAGATTGGGGTTACCATGAAGGTTTCTTTTCTGTATATGCGCTATGAAAAAAGACTAGGTAATCTATACCTTCATTATTGTGCTGCTCTCCCATTAAATCTCCATCTGCGTCATGGAGAGATAATTGTTGATTTTCTTCTACTGTATAGGTGCAACTGAAGGCTGAAGAATCAATTCGGTCTGAAGCTTGAAAGGGTGAAGTGTCAATATTCCTTGACATTGTGATGTTTTCATGTTTCAAAAATGAGTTCATTGTGTCACAGAAACTTCCATAAATTCTGGAAGAGAAAAGATGAATATATTCCTATCAACTACATTCAATATCCTACACGTGCAAGTTCTTTCCTCAATCTTTTCCACTGACATTGACAGAAAGGTGGAATTACAGACAAAGTTTACATTAATTACAGTTTCAATTATAAAATGTGAGCGCAAGATTTTGTAATGGATATATAGAAAGAAGCATAGAATTCACGATGTTAAAATGGCAATTGCATTCTATCTGTTCTTTTGAATGCAATTATCCCTCAATGTTCTAACTCTAACTGTAACTACACATTTGTGACAACCTAGGCTGGATTTTATACCCTCACTGATGGGTCTAAAAGCAGGTGATATGTATCATTAAATCAGTTGCCTTCCCACCACTCACCTATTTGCCCCTGAACTGTCTGAAGTTTTATGGAGGCGGAGGCAGTGTTAGGCAGCCTGTTCATTGTTCAGCCAACTAATGGTCACTTAAGGGCCTCATCTCTCCAGTGCCCATATTTTACTTGCAGAGGAGAGAGGCTCATGTCACTCCCACCATAGGTCATTCTTCCACTTTTACGCTGTCCCCCTGACCTCTTCAACCCTAAGCTCCCAGGGCATCTCAGCATGGTGGTGAGACAACCTGTAGACATAGTTCACCTACTGGTGCTGGTGGGACTATAGAGCTGCCATCAATAGCTCTCTAAGGCAGGTCTTCCTGCAAAGTTAGCAACTGAAGTGTTGCTTTAAAATAATTAATACTGTTCCTAGTGTTAAATTGTAGGGTATTGTCAGGACCGTGGGTGGCTGAACAATTTTACAAAATAGACTCATTATTCTTGCTATTTAACATTATACATTAGATGTTTTCTCAGAAATGTTAAGCTTGAGTCATTATACTAATGACAATCTGCAAAATAATCACTAAATTAGCAGTAGCTAACCTTTATATGTACCCTTAATGAAAGATACAAATATCAAACAGAGAGAACATTTGGTTTCAATGTACCAGTAATGACAGAAAAGGAAGACAAATGAAGTTGGATAACAGGAATGCAGAAAAGTACTGGTGGGGCTCAAAGCTAGAACAACCAATGCATGGACGAATTCCCAATTGGGAAGGCAGAGATCTAACAGGATTGAGTGATTGAGAAGGGGAGAACAGAAGAAAGAAAAATTGTGTGTATCAGACTGTACAGTGGGAACCATGGAATGGTGGGGCTACAGCAACAGTACAATCATTCAGCTGTGATCATAACAATAACAATCTGTAATAGCAGGTAGCATTCAAAAGTGCAAGAGTATTCTGTTTGTAATATATTAATTTATAGTTCATGTAATTCGCGCTACTGATGTAAACCATGCTCCAAGTTAGCCAGCCATCCTTTCACACAGATTTAAAACAGAAAAATGCAAACTCCAAATCCTTGAAGTTCACTTAAATTATTCACCCGACAAAAAGCAATTTATTTGAAAGTTCCTGCATACTTGTATTAAAGACATTCAAACATTGCAATATATTACCTTGGTCTATTTTCTTGTTCATTGCCATCAGCTTCTTCAACCAGGTAACTGGAAGTTTCTTCATATATGTCATTGTCAGTCTAGTAATAAAGACAATTTGATTCACTGCATAGTCTACCAGCAAGTTTTCCCACACTCTATTCATGAATATGCCTATGTTGTCTTATAATACAATCAAAATTTGTATTTACCATATTTCCCAAATAATTAGCCCATTTCTTTAGACCTCCAAAGATTCGTCATGAATTTTAGCCCTGGGCTAGATTAGGGAAGGGATGTGCATGCTAAGTGATGGCACACTGTTCCTTTTTGGGGGCATTATCAGCATTCCCATGTCAGGAAATGTATATTCCAAAGAAAAGTAAATCTCTTTCCAGTCTGCTCAACGTGTCATAGCCTTAACCTCAGAAATTGCTACTGAACTAATAGAACAATTCCATTTTCCATACAAACCTTAAAATTAGACTAACAATTACAAACACACAATACCTCAGAAATTTCAACTTTTAAGCATGACAACACAATGCTATTCATTGTCGTTTTTCAGTTGAAAGTTAAGTCCTATGATTAAGTTAATTATTTGAAGGTAATTACAATAGTTTTGCTGTTTTCTTTTTGGAATATTGTATTTTATGTTTTTTTTAATGTTTATCTCCAATAAACAGAAGAGATCAATCAGCAGTAGCACAAAGAACATGTGACAAAAATGCACAGAAAACTTACATGCATCATACTTTCCGCAATGGAAAGCCATTACTTCAAGTGAATTTTGGTAAAGCCTCACTATAAACACAAGTTGGGTCATCTGTAGAAAACTTAAAATGCTACAATACTAATGAGGTTTTCCAATGTTCCTTTTCACTAAGCATAGAAACATAGAACTTAGAAAATAGGAGCAAGGGTTGGCCATTCAGCTCTTTGAGTCTACCCTGCCATTCTATACAGTCAAATCTGTCCATCCAGTTCAGTACCTTGTTCCTGCTTTGTCCCATGACCCTTTGATCCCTTTCACCCAAAAACTATATCATACTCATTCGTGAAAACATTCAATGTTTTGGCCTCAATCACTTTACTTGGTACAGAATTTCACAGCCTCATTGCTCTCTGGGCGTAGAAATTTCTCTTCATTTCAGTCCTATATGGCCTATCTCGTATCGTTACACTGCAACCCACAGGTCCGGGCTCTTCAATCATTGGGAACATTATTGGAATGGCATGCGAATATTTTACAACTTTGCTTTTCAGTTATTTTCATTGACATGTAAGAATATGGGAAATCCAAAGTGTCTACAAAGGGTCGTACTCCATAATAGGGTATGATTGTTGAGGTTTTGAGAGAAGTGGATATTACTTACTTAATTTAAAAAAAAAGTTTGCATTGGAGATCAGTACTCGTAGAATTATGAGTAAACTTTTCTGATCTTTAAAGCACCAATTTAAAAACACATGTATTACAACTTTTTTTTAGATTAGCAAACCTTTTTACAGGTTTTCACTTGGTAGTATGCTACAGGATGTTGCTCAGCTCACCTCTCAAATCCACTTATTCCTTCCAGAATAATTCTTTATTACCAAGTCATTAATATTTAAGCATATGCTTCAAGGCAGAGAGAGGCCCACATATAAGCTGGCTGGTATCTAATGTGAAAAGGGAATTCTAGAGATAGGTTTCAAGGAGCCAGTGCTGACTGGATTTGAAATTTAACAGAAACAACTGTATTAACTCTAACTGATAAATAACACATTCTCATACAAGTAAAATGTCATAAGTCGACATCTCTTTCCCACCTGTCAGTCAAACAGTATTTCAACACCACAATAACTGCAGTCAGTCTGTCCCCTCTCCCCACACAATTTGCTAAAGATCATCAAAATCTCATGCTTTTGGATGAAGCCCTAACAAACTGTATAATATCTTTAGCTGCCAATCAACACAAAAATTCAAATGGTATACCAGGAATTTACACCAATTATTTTTGAAGATATAAATTTGGTAGCTTATTTTGGAGCTTCTAGGGAATGTAAGTAAATGGACTTCAATACCTCTCAGCTTCTACACAAGTAATAGACAGTTTACAATTTCTAATTAGGATATTATTAGATTTGTTTTAATCTTACATGGCAATCAGCACCTTGCAATATTATTATAAATATTTTTAAAAATTACAGGCCATATTTATCATAATGTTGTATTGAGAAATATTTAACTTGAGGTTAGAGTTCTACTTCTACAATCTTTGCTGCATAGCTATGGCTGGATTCCCAAAGCCATTGTGTAAATTCATCAAGATTTTTGACAGCTTCGAAATACAAATCTGACCTTCACACTTGGAGGTCTTAACAGTGGAAAATTCTGAGTTTAGTTGCTTGTAGTCTCAGACCTTTAATTTATTTGCTCTACACATACTTACCTCTTCTAATTCGATAATTCTCAAAACTGACGGGACTGCCTCTGTGTCCTCAGAGGGTTCATCCACTTTAAAAAGAGCAAAACAGTTTTCACGTTCTTCAATCTCTTCAGCTGCCATGAAGAAAAGACAAAGATATATGATGATATCAGTGAAGGTGGCACAGAAATTGCTTTAAAACTTTCAATGCTTTTAATCTTTTCCGAGTTGCCATTGTCAATGTGTCTCTTCTCTCTGTCTTCAAGACCCATCCACACCAAACCCCCATCACTTTTCCTTGCTCTCTTTATCTTTATCACAGCGGTCTACTCTAAAAATGAGGGGCTGGGATTCACCTCAGTCCATTCCTGTTTTTAACACTCCTTGCATTTACTCTTTTGACAAAAACGTGACTTCTGTCATTTTAGAACCTATGACTGTGTACGCTGTTTCAAAGCTAAAGTTTCAGTTTCTCAGAATCATCAAAAATAAGGAATGACAAAAAAAAAGGAGTGGCCAAACAGAATAGAAGAATTAGGAGGAGTAGACCGTTCTCCCTTTAAGCACATTCAGCCAATATCACAGCTGACCTTCCATTTCATTATATCCCTAATTTCTTCAATAGTCTGAATCTGTTGAGCTGTGTCTTGAATATAGTCTATGACCGAACATTCGCTGCTCTCCACAGATGCATAGACTCATAACTCCGAGTGCAGAAATCTCTCTTCAACTCACTCTTAAATGGCTGGTCCCTTATTCTGAGAATGAATTCTAATTCTAGGTTCTCCAGCCAGCAGAGCATCCTCCAAGCATTTGCCTTGTAAAATCCTGTCAGAATTTTAGCTGCTTCAATTAGACCACGTCTCATTATTCTAAATTCAAGGGAACACAGGTCCAGTCTACTCAATTTCTATTTCATAGCCAAGGAATAAACAGTCAATGGTTGATGCACTCCTTCATCATGCAAATGTGTACTTCCTTAAACAAGACTACAATTGTGCCAAGTGTGATCTCATCAAGGCCCTATATAATTGGGATAATTAATTGTTTCTGTTTTCTAATCCCTTTATTATAAAGGGTAGCATACCATTCATTTTCTAGTCGTTGGCTGCCCTACATCTTAATTTTCTGTGAAACATATACGGGAACACTTAAGGTCTTTCAGAATATCAGCATTTCCCTTACCATGTAAAAAATATTCTGCTTTACAATTTCGCCTACAAAAGTGGATACCTTACACTTCTCCACGTATTTGCCCATTCATTTGCTCTGTCCAAATCCTTCACTGCTTTTTTGCATCCTCCTCACAGCTTTTTTTCCCCATCTGCCTTTTTACCAGCAGCAAATTTATAAAAGTTACATTCGGCACCTTCATCCATGTTCTTGATACAGATTATAATTAGTGGAGGTCCAAGCCTTGCAGTACTTCACAAGGTACTGCCAGCATGTTGGAAAATGACCCATTTATTTCTATACACATATTTTCCAATGTATAAACATCCACAACATAAGCTAATACTTTACCCCAAATCCCATAAGCACAGGGGGAGACAATGGCCTGGTGGTATAATCACCGGACTGTTAATCCAGAAACCCAGATAATGTTCTGGGGACCCAGGTTCGAATCCCTCCATGGTGGAATTTAAATTCAATTAAAAAAAAATCTAGAATTAAGAATCTAACGATGTCTATGAATCCGTTGTCAATTGTCAGAAAAACTCACCTGGTTCACTAATGTCCTTTAGGGAAGGAAATTGCTATCCTTGCCTGGTCTGGTCTACATGTGACTCCAGACCCACAGCAATGTGGTTGACTCTGAACTGCCCTCTGGGCAATTAGGGTTGGGCAATGAATGCTGCCTGGTCAGCAATGCCCTTGTCCAATGAATGAATAAAGAAAAAAAATTGTGTGTAATAACCATTCGTGGCGCATTATGGAATGCTTTTTGAAAAGCCAAACATACTGCCTTATCTAAACTTAATCTTTAAAAAAAGGATAGTTTGATCAAACACAATGTACCTATTGTACATATGCTTTGACTATGCCTGGATACCACATCCCTAATACTAAATTCTAACACTGACAATTAAACACTTAATTTAGTAACAAAAAATTAACAACAATTAAAATCAGGGCAAACAGTTCCCTGTTTTCTCTCCCCTCCTTTCTAAATATTTGTTACTTTTCAATGCACAGGGACTGTCCTAGAATTGAGGAAATTCTGAAAGATCAAAACATACTTTCCCATAACAGCTTCAATTAAAACCTTACATGGTTGACAAAGAAGCAAAGATAAATACATAAAATAATACTCTGAAGAAGCAGGAAATTGGGGTGGGGAGTGGACAGAACAGGCCAGTTCCATTCAAGAGTTAGCTAACCAAAGCTTTCACTGAACATCAGGAATGAAATCACTGTATTCTGAAGCATTATTGGACTCAAAACATCAATTCTGTTTTTCTCTCTCTATAGGTGCTGCAGATTTGCTGAGATTTTTCAGCACTGGGGTTATTTCAGATCTCCAGCATCCACAGTATTTTGCTTTTCTGAAATCACTACTATTGTCCACATTCTAACCACCAAACTTGTGTGCTGAATAGACAAGGACAGTGGTTTGAAACTTGCATGTAGTTCAAGTCCATAAGGAAACAGTAACGAAGATACCATAATGATTATTGCTAAATTTATCACTTCATCCAGAAAGTTATACAATCTCCAAAAACATTGAGTAAAGAGCTAGGGGTTTCATATTTCACAAGACGTGAAATATAATTGTAGGTAAACACAATTTATGGCAGGTTTGATATAAATTGTATGATTTTTGAAGGGTTAGATCATCTTCAGTTGTGAAGCATATTGATAAAACTAACCTGTTAGTAGGAGCTCTTCATCTTTTTGGTCACTCTCTTCTTCACAAGATGAAGACGACAAGGACCTTAAGTCACTTGTACAGGAAGCCTGAAAAAATTCCACTGGAGATCTAAAAGACAAAAAAAAAGTACCAAGTAATTATTCTTTTTAAAACCTACAAAACAAATATTCAAGCTCAGGGAGCAAACCCAGTAATCAGATAAAGTGGAAACCATCAGAACATCAAAAGCTCGAAGCTATCATTTAAATATGATTCCTGGGCTTCCCACCTGATCAGTTGGGAAAGCAAGTAGACCAAACAGAACATTATGTGCACAACTTCAGCAGAACCTAACAAACCTATACAAATCAGAAATATAACTTTTAAAAATGAATACATATTCCAAATCTACATTAAATTTAAAATACTTTTCACCCCCATTGCTACCTAAATTTTCCAGACAAGTGTGTTTACACAATATTTAATTTTGCATTTTGATCTGAACATTATCTGCTTCAACATTAAGCTGTGAACACCCAATTTAACTTGCTGCTCACTAAACAACTGTAACTCCAATCTTTTGGAACCAGACCAGTGCAGAGAAAAACATGCCTGTCATTTTTGAAGTCAGTCTGGATGATGTTTAAAAACAGATAATTCTAGTAAAAACAGAAATGTTTAAAATTTACTGTTACCATTATGTTACATTTCAACTTAATACATGTTCACCAAGTAAAATCCCTAATAGAATACTTGTCAAACGATTTGTTTGTCTGAAAGTTCTATATTTACTTAAAAGGCAACATATTATTGCATCATAATAACTGAAGGGACTCAGTTTTGAGGAAGAGTACTTGACCCAAAGCTCTAACTTCTCTTCACAGATGCTGCCAGACATGTTGAGCATTTCCAGCAATTTCTGTTTTTGTTCTTGACATTATTGCTTCAATTAGGACCAAGAGTTGCTTTAGATTACATGATCCCAAGAAATCACTTTTTTTTGACTTGATAAATTTTTTTCCTTGTTTGCAATGGCAGAAAAGTGAAAAATCAAGTTGAACAAACTGAAGATACCTTCTGTACTTTTTCAGTAGCAGTTTCTCCAAGTAGCTTATGTTGTGTTCTTTAAATTGAATTTCAATTGGTGTTTTTAGATTTTGCAGGTTGTCTTGAACATGTGATGTCCCTGTGGAAACTGACAGGAATACACACAAAGTAGTCACTCAGTTCATGGGAATGTTTACTAATAAAATACAATATGAGCTACACCAAGAATCAGTGGGTTCACACAGCAAGTAACTGAGCCATACAGTCCATGATAGCTACAGGTTTCAGCCCATTTGGTATATAGCACATTCGTCGCTCATTTTGTACAGGTAGCAGAAGAGACTCAATATCCCTTAATTAAAGCATCCCTACTTTGATTGAACAAAGAAGGGTTGAGTTCCTCTGGAATTATTCAGCCTGCTGAAACTCAAGATTCTCACTGTTATGACCATCATAGGAGGAGTGCGCTATATTTTTCTTGTCTCACAAGTCCCAACATAAATGTAATCATTATGTCCAGTTTCTAATATGGCCAATCACATGCTTTCTCTACATTAGACTTGGAATAAAAAGATCCAACCAGATTTTATTTTAATAGGCGCAACCATTATTAATTTATTACAAGACAAAAAACCTATTCCACAAAGCTACAAAACTGTTGAACACTTAGCTTGTAAGATGAAAAAACATGAACATTTACCCCTCTAAATAATCCACAACACATATGCATGTATGGTAAAGGGAATGGGAGATAAAACAAAACTGATTTCCTTCTGCAGAGATAAATCCAAAATTATAATTGTTCTTTAGCCAATAAGGCTTCGTTCTTTAAGGCAAATGGATCAGATTAGAGATGACTAGATGGCAGTTGATCTGACATTCTGGTGTACAAAGATGTACGTTGAACAGAGATGTTATCACTGATGGCCTTTGCAATCATTCAGGAAGCATCAACAATTTCTTTCAAAGGCTGGACCACACTGGATCAACAACAAGGTTTATTTACCAGAAACAGGAATGATCAGCTGGGAAGCTTCTTTCTGTCAGAAGGCTTCTCCCCAATTATTCCAACAATAACCATAGTAGAAACTGAAACTTGACAGTCATATATCCAGACAGGTAACCTCCAGTAAACAAGCGGTTATCACAAGACATATGACTCCAAAGAAACGTCTCAATAAAAAAAAAAGTTCCAATATCATTTAACTTACCTCTTAAAATAATCCAGATATTCACAATCCTTCAAACTCAACTCCATATGAATTATTGAATACAAAACCTTCGTAACAGCACATGAATCAAAATCACTTGAATGAGATTAGGAGCCAGGGAAAACTAAAACCAGACTCTGACCAGTGAGCTGCATAGGATACTGAATGTGTGTCTAAGACAATAGTTCAATGCAGGGGAAGCCCAAGCTCCAATTACACTCAAACCTCAGCACAGATACTCTCTCATGAACCCATTCAGGCGATGGTATTATACATCTCTGGAGCAGGTGGGATTTAAACCCAGCCTTCTGGCTCAAAAGTAGGAATATTACTATTGTATCATAACAGCCCTTTCCAGCTCATTTTTTATTATCCAGAGATGCTATTAAACAGATCTAACCATTTTTCTCCACAGCCACTAAATCACTAGGGTTTCTAATTAAAAGAAAAATTTACAAGCACAATTTACAAGGGGCAGCGCAATGTCAGCAAAGAAGTGAGGGAAAGACAGGGAGAGGGGAAGGGCACTATAATAAAAGGGAATTGGAGGGTAAAATAAGGCACTTCCCCAGCGCCCCCCACCCATGAGGAAGTCCTCCGATATACTTGCCTTCCTCCACACAGGATACCCCAATAACAGGAGCATGGGGCTGAAACACAACAAAAATAAACAAAAGGTTTTCTTTTTAAATAACTAAAAATGGAATGCAGCTGCCCACAACAAATATGCACATGGTCCACAGACTCCACCATTCTGCAAAACAAAAAGCTGATCATGCAGAAGGACATGGAGGTGGTTTTGCATTTGCATGAGGTGGCTCAGGGTCCTGAGGGAGGCTCCTGCAGGGCTACATGCAAACAGGAGACAACTGCACAATCAAGCGTTGTCTAACTGGTGCCGTATGCGGGATCTGAGCTATTTTCAGGCAGCAGATGGCTTCGGCTGCAAGTTGCACGTCCATAGTGGATCTGCTCACCAACTCCTGTGGTAACATCCAGGCCAGGCCTCAGCTTCCTAGCATTTCTCCGACTCGGGTCACCCCTGTGACAACAGGCCTCCCTTCTGTCAGCTACTTGAACCTGCTTTGAAGGTATGGATTCCAGAGCAGGAGCTCTCTGGATTTCCACTACTGTTGATGGTGGGAAGATGTGGTGCAAATCAACCACATTCCAGTCATTGATCAAGTCCTGGTAAAAGAAAGAGGTATCCTGAGGGATACCTGAAGATTCTTGCGGTCGAAAAGCAGGAGCTGCATGTCATATTTGAAGTTGCACACAAGGTGGAAGAAATGGATCACCAGGTCACACCATCTGGGAGGAGGCTCAATGTAAAGATATCACTGCAGTGTGTGAAGGCAAAATGTCACCATCTGGGTGCACAGGCACACTAGCTCTCTTAAATTATAAGACAACGCAGTGTAGAGCTGGAGAAACACAGCAGACCAGTCAGCATCAGAGGAGAAGGAAAGTTGATGTTTTGGGTCGGAACCCTTCAGAAAAGGGTCCCGACCCAAAACATCAACTTTCCAACTCCTTTGATGCCACCTGGCCTGCTGTGTTCCTCCACCTCCACACTGTGTCATCTCTGACTCCAGAGTCGGCAGTTCTTACTATCCCTGAGCTCTCTTAAGTTGACAACATGCAATTTACCGGCATCACCTGTGATTTTTTTTCTTTTCAGTCAACCTCTTTTTACAGCAGGTCAAGTTAATAATGATACTCTGTACTCTGATTTGTTTTTTTAAAGTAATACTCAAGTAACCTAAAGAGATAATTCATTAAACTGATGTGGAAAGGAAACAATACCGAGTAAATTGTGAATCAGCATAACAGCGCATTAGCTTCAGAACAATTGGATCTCTCCCTTAGACTCTTTTTTATAATGCTTCTGCAATTACACGTAATAATTGTCCATGAAAATTTGCTAAAGCATGGTGTGTCCAATAGCTAACTACAAAATTATTCAATGTGATAATTATTAATTACTGCTGATAAATCTCTCGTTAAAAATGTTGTGTGGGATCCTACTGGCACAATGCTAATTTCCCCACCTCTGAGCCAGAAGGCCCAGGTTCAAGTCCCACCTGCTCCACAGATGCCTTAACACATCTGATCAATCTGGTTTAAATCAGATAAAGAACTGTTGTTGGAGAATTTATGCGGTAGTTTTTTTTCACTTTTCACTTTTCCTTTACTTTTGTTTTTGCCAATCTCCCTTTCCTTTTCTTTCATTTTGTATTTGATTTGGTTCCTTTGTGTCACCCTCATTCATCCTCCTCAGTCTTCCCTGTTTCTTTCTCAATTGTTAAATCTCTTTGGTTGAGGAGATACCCCATTGATCCCAGATATCTTGTTGCCCTCAACATATTACCAATTCACACTGTTGGCATAAAACATTTTTGAGCTGAGGGGTGCAGGAAGAAGTTTAACTATTAGGGTACACCAGGAGATACTCTGCTCAAGCCAGTTCTCGGTCATTATGTGTTTGTTGCACTTCTACTGAAATTTGACCTCAGTAATGTATAAATGTATAAATTCCAAATTCTTGTGCTTTTTCATCTTGGTCAGTGGGAGCAATTGAATTACTTAGTCAACAAACAGCACACAATGGGTTGAATGACTGTTTTCTGTGATGAATCAGGTTATGATGTTAAAAATCTATTGTTATCATCAGTTATCAAAAAGATCAGACAAGTTTACATCATTTTAATTTCCAATAGTAAATGCTGTGAAGTTTAAATTAAAATGGCAGAAAGAGAGAATTTCCCCTACTTTTATATAGTTTAGACAACAGCGTCAATGTCTATGACAACTGACAGCTTCCAAATGCCACCATCAGCTCAGAGAAGTAATGTGCTGCTTTAATCATGTAACATTTCCATAATCCTTGCTCCTGGGCATTTCACGATAACATCTGTCACTGCAAGGATGAAAGCATGCTTCTGCGGTATGGATTATTTCAAATTATTGGTATTTCATTGAGAATGATTTATGCCAGGTTCCATACAGGGCATTGTAAACTATCAACAAACTACTGACAGGTATGTCACTGTAAAAGAAGTGAGTCTTCCATTTTACGACAATTTCTGTTGTCATTCTATTGGCACATTTAAGCAAATATCTAAAAGTCTTCATTTAAGTATCACCTCAATAATTTACAATAATCTCTATGATTTAGTTGGGCTTCTCAAATCTGGCATTCAGTTTTAACACTTAGAATGCATGTGGCCTTACATACAATTATTAAATTCAAGTACTAAAAGGAGTGAACAGCTATACAGTGACTTTTTAAATATAATTTATTGGCCTGTCTGTACAATTCCAATAGCAAAGGACTGTTTTGCAATTAATTGTACAACAGAGCTCACTGACTTGCTATGATAGTCAGTGAAGGTTTTATCGCCAGTCAACGGTAAATAATATGTTCTCCAAAAGCAACGTTACTAGCCTTGCAGAAAGAAAATGCTCATAGTTGTGTATGAAAATCTTCACTACCTATAGTTATAGGCAGTGTCATCAAGATACAGCTTTTTCAGTGGCAACAGTTGGCTGACACTGCTCCTCAAATTACATATTTTCCTAGGTTCTACTTTTGTTTGGGTGAAACAAATAAAACATAACTTATCCTAATGGGGGATCTAAAATTTACTTAGCATCGGTTCTATTATTGCAATAAGCATGAAGGAGAAAGCACAGTTATGCACATAAAACACAGAGGCATGAAGAAGACAGGATAAGAGCAGGATAGTGTTATTGAGTCTAAGTTACTTATAATATTACAAATATTAAATGTTTATGGAGTCTTGAACAACTCATATGTTTCCTGAGTAAAATATAATCCCAGGTAGTAATAGACCACAAAAAGGAATATTGGAGTAGACTTATACTGGTTACTAAATACTTATAACAGTTATACATTTGTTATAAGTTTTGTTTTTATTTATTCAATTTTTAAGGGATCACTTTATGAATGATAGTTCATAATAATTCTTTAGTGTTGTTATTTTGCAAGTTTAGCCTATCGCAGCAATCTTTTTCGGATTTCATTTGGGGCTCAATTTAACACGCAAGGAAACCTCTCAAAAACATTGCCCATGTAAAAGTGGACAACACCCCTCCATGATTTATGGCACAAAAGATTATTCTAAAAAAGTGACTTTATGTGAATATATCTGGCATTTAGTGCTCACTATCTTGTAATTATCATTTATATTGTTTTTGTACAGAATTACATAAAATAAACAACACAGAAATAGGGATGCTTAATCAATTCAAGCGCACTTCTGCCTGACATGTTCAGCCACTCCATCATTTGGGATGTAAATGCATTTAGAGCATGAGGTTGTTGACTTGCTAGCCGAGCTGGCTTGTTTTTGTTCAGACGTTTCGTCACCATGCTAGGTGACATCACCAGTGGACCCTCCGATGAAGTGGTGCTGTTCTACTCCACTTGGAATTTATACTGTCCGGTCCGTTATGGTGAGTACTGTCATTTCCGGTTTTGATCTGTATGGGTTTATATATGGGGTCCAATTCTATATGTTTGTTGATTGCATTATGGGTGGAGAACCATGCCTCTAGGAATTCCCGTGCGTGTTTGTGCTTGGCTTGGGCTACTATGGTTACTTTGTCCCAGTTAAACTGATGGCCTTCATTGTCTGAATGTACAGATACTAACCCATACAGATCAAAACCGGAAATGACAGTACTCACCATAATGGACTAGACAGCATAAATTCCAAATGGAGTAGAATAACATCGCTTCATCAGAGGCCCCACCGATGATGTCACCTAGCATGGTGACGAAATTTCTGAACAAAAACAAGCCAGCTCAGCGAGCAAGTCAACAACCTCATCCACAACCCGAGCTACAGATCTTTGCTAATACTTTAAGCATTTAAAGCATTCTCCTCCCCGTTTTCGTTAAATGTTTATTGATCACCATCATTCACAACTGGAAATAGCAGAATTTTGATCTGAATCATTGATTATGGGATGGCTTTTCTTTGTCTATTACATATTGCTTCTGATGTTTAGCATGCACAGCTTCACCAGATTGGCACCTCACTTCTAGGATGCCCAGTGCTGCTCCTGGCATTGTCGCTCACTGCAATCCAGGCTTTAATACAGGAACATCTCTTCTGGGACAATGTCTGCTGATTTTCAGGACCTGAGGTTACTTGAATACCAGAGTTAGTAACCTTGTTTTCACCAGAGTCATGCCTGAAAATAAAGCCAAATTGCCCGACAATAAAACAGTTTACTTACACAAATTCAGCCTAAATTCTGCTTGATCATCAGGACAGTGTTTCTTGATCATCATTGAATTGATTCTGAAAAGGCCTCTCCATCTACTTTTGAATGTTGATGCAAGGCCTATTAAGCCAGTCAAATGGCAGTCAACACATTTACAGGGGAGAAATATGGTAGACTAGATTGTGGAGCATACTTCCAGCACCACTGTATATGGACTTGAGAGAGAAAGCAAGCAGAGAAAGAAAGTGATATAATTCACTGCATGCAAGAGAAAGCTATCACAAAGACTAAGGTGACTATTAAATGTAATTTATAGAGCATGAAAACAAAACTTTTGTTGACAGTGGCATACCAAAGTTCCTAACTTCATTCATTTAAAAAGTTATTTTCATGTCCATATTTCAGGTTAATATCATGCCATTGTTCAAGTTTAACAGTGTTTTCACTTTTGAGGATTTATACAAAATTATGTTTTACTTGGTTGCTAAATCACGTTTTAAGTTGTTTTCTGTAAATTGGTTGAGTTCTTAAATTAGACATGCTATGATCATTTTTACCCGAAAACATTTTGGGTGACCAATGTGCTTCACTAGGTTTTCTCTCCTTCCATTCTTTTAGTGCTTCTTGGAAAGATTGCAATGACTGTTCCTCATCAAAGTTGCCATTTAATAATGAGTTACTGCTCAAATGTTCCGCTCTGATGCTTTGCTCACAAGCAGCTGATTCACCATCCTCTTGTTCTCTGTTAAGAACCTACAGAATACAAGAAATCATAAAATATTACAATGTTTTAATATTTAACTTATTCCAAACTGTCAAACTTATAGATATTTTTAAATCAATCTGATCAGAGATGTTATGAATCTTGGCTCAGAGATAGGGAAATTACCACTGTGCCACAGGAGCCTCCTAATACTTATGCAACAGGCTATGCAGTGCTGCATTAAACATTTACAAATTAAGGAAAAAGAACATATATAACTTAGGTATTAAAGCTTTGTCAGCTTCAATTTCCTACTTTTAGCTTATAATAGTCAATTACTTGAGGCTAGAACATTTCATAATTATGTGAAAATGCAAAGAGGTAGGGTGGTTAACATTTTCAGAATTAATGATATCAGAATCTGGACGATGTCAAATGGATTAATTATGCATCTCTTTCATGGGGATTATAATAGATGTTTGTTTTTTGTTAATGATGCATAGTTCCAAAAATAAAAAATATATATCAAATCAGATTTCACACTGCGATCTGACTTGTCAAATATTACCATCAGCTGGGATCATAACAACCTTACAAGTTGCTGGAAGCTTTCCTTTTGGAATTTAGGAAGATGTTACAAAGGGCAAACATGACATCTTTTGTTAAACTTTAAGCAGTTATAGAAAGTGAAGTGATTGATGGTGCCTGCAATTGCCTAGAAGGGCTCTATGTCATAAAAGATTAAGACTACCAATATCTCCACAGCTATGAATTGTCCTGGAGAATGTCTGAAGCTCAGCTTGCAGACGGCAAAGTCCAAGTTGCTCCTTTAAAAACATGTAACCTTAATTAATATGTCCAATATAACTATACAAAAATGTTCATGCTGAAATTGCTACTGAGACAGGATTGGAAGGTCACCTTAAAGTTCAAAAAAAAGGCAAATAGATTTGTCAACTTTTAAAAATCTGAGATAGGAATTTTTAGCAATAATAGAATAACAGTCATGAAAGAAGCTGAAGGTCTGACTTTGTGACTCGTACATTGTATAGCATCAGAAAATGTACTCCTAATTTTGTCTCTCCAATATTCTGACCTATTTAATTGTAGCCAGAGAATCACCAGCATGGGAAGAATAGCGTGTACAAGTAATGTTACAGGGTTAGTAATTCAAAATCTGAACACTATAATGTTCACAGCCGCAGGTAGTGAAATCCAAATTTGATAATAAAAAAATTCTGGAATTAAAACGTTAGACTAATGGCAACCATGTAACCATTGCTAATTATCATAAATACCCATCTGGTTCACTAATGTCCTTTGGGAAAAGACATCTGCCATCCTTTCTGGTCTGGCCTATACAATAATGTCATTGATTCTTAACCGCACTCTGAAATGACCGACCAAGTCATTCAGTTCAAGAGCAATAAGGATGATTCCCACATTAGAAACAACCGTCCCACCCTTCCTCCTGTCTAATACTAAACTAAACTGTTGGCAACTCAAGTATTGCTATTATTCTTTCATGAGTGTGTTGATGACCAAGCATGTATTTGTATTTGTTGCCCATTCCTGATAGCCATTGAGAGGGGGTGGTGAGTCTTCATGAACTGTTGCAATTATGTGGTCTGGGTATACCTACAGTGTTCTGAAGAAGAGAGTTCTAGATCTGTGACCCAAACAGTAAAGGAAAAGTGATACAGTTCCAACAGCAAACCTGTTGTCATACTTGATTGTTGCAAGTTTCCAAAAACATTTTCAAATCATCACTACAACTGCCTGTTTTCAATTCCATGACTTGTACCTGCCTCACATCACCTATTGTTAAAACATTTATCCATCCTTTTATTATCTCTAGACTTGGTCATTCCAATGTACTCCTGACTGACTTCCCACATTCTATTTTCTATCAGGGCAAGGCCATGCAAATATCTGCCTTTTCTAACTTGCACATAGTTCCGACAACCATTATCCTGCATTCCCTAATTCATACTGAATTCCAGTTAAGTAATATTTCATTGTTGAAAAAGACGTCCTTGTTTTCACATTGATCTTTAGCCTTCCAACACTGCACCATATTTGTGCTCCTTCCATTCTGGCCAGTCAAGAAATCCCAATTTTAATTGCACCACAGGTAGTTGCCATGCCTTCACCACCCTAACCAATGAAATTCCCTCCCTGAAATCTTCTCCTTCTCTTTGCTATTTTAAGATACTACTTCCAATTGAGCACCTTGTGATCTTGCAAATATATAAATAAAACCGATCGCTATAATATTTATAAATACTAGGAGAACTTCAAACTGTAAGAGCAGGGAATAATTTGATGTCATAATGTTGCTCCTATCATACAGGTCAATCGTGCAGAATATAAGATTTGATTGAGATTTTGAAATGATTCATCTAGATTTTAATCAAGTCATAAGAATTGCAGGAGCTATTCTGATTCATGTGCAATTTATTCTCCAAATGTGGGAAGACTCAAACAATTTATTGCTAGTGAATTTGATTGAAGTCATTGAAGTTATTTTTATATTATGCAAAACTTCATTAGATTTCTTTAGAAAATGCAATGAAATTCTCAACTTTTCAACTGATTTGTAGGGAGCAGTAGTAAATTAATTCCTGCTATATAAAATTATCAAGAGTTTAAACACGTACCTACCAACTCTGCATGTCTGGTGCATACAATTTGCATACTAGTGAAAAATAATGCATATTTGTTAAAAGGGCACAAACTGGGCCCTCTCCCAAACCCGTATCTGTTCCTGCATTTCATTATTGTCATTGTACGCTGAGCAGAAATTCTTCAGAAACTGGGAGAGAAGTGCTTTAAGAGATGGGAAGGAGGGAGAACATTTGCATCCAGGGAATTTGAAGTCAGGTATGGTGTAACAAGGGAATGAAGAAAAGAAAGAAGATAGAAGTGATACTCAGAGTTGGAGGGAAAAAGCTGAAAGAGCATCACAGGAAGAAAAATCTACTTTGAGGTTTCAGGAAAGTCCAAAGATGGAACCCTTCCAGCCACTGAATGATGTGAGCAATGGCAAGTCAGTTGGGAAAATATAGCAATATCAAAAAAATGATTATCTTGACATTGAGAAAATAAAAGTCCAATTTTTCACCCAATGTTTAAACAGTGAGATGAGAATCCTGATGATGAGCAGGGGGCAAGGCCTATTTGCAACTATCACCATCTCATTGTTACCTAATCTCACTTCATTTATATCTAGTTTGTTATTTTCCCAGGTAGTCGATAGAGACTAGACAGTGACAATTCCTGACATGAAAGTCTGAGTAGATACCTGATGACTCCAGCTCGTTGTTTTCTCTTCCAGGCCTCCACCTTAGCCAGAATTCCTCAATAATCTTGGAACACACTTGATGAGCAGTGACCACTTACATCCTTTATACAACGATACTGGCACCACACTCGCAACTACCTTCCCCACATCATCAGGCCACATTTCCTGCTCACTTATAACGCAGTTCACCACATCAAAACTGCAATTCTGAGCAGACCAACACCAATTATTGTAATGCTTCTACCATCACAGAAGGGAAACAAAAACAGTAAAACCTGCAAATGATAAATACCGGTCTGAGCTGTCTTGTATACTTCAAAATGAAGCTCTAGTATGACTAGTATATTCATTTCCAAGTATTATTGTGTTTTAAACCTTTTCCCCCCTTAGGATGCACACGTATCTTATTGTGGGAACAAGGCAGACTTCAGGGATTTTATAGTTTGCTATCACCCATAATCACCCATTTTGCACTTATGTGGACACTCACTACATCTCTGCCTTGCTTTCCTTGACCTGTTTGTACATCGCTGCCTCATTCAGAATTTACAGGCTTGGAGTCCTTCTATCTTGCTTTGCCTTATAGCATAAATACAAAGCCTGACAGCTTGTCATGGTTACCAGCAGTGATCAGCTAAGGAGCTGGTTAGGTTGCTGCATAGTACCATGCCCCATCAGCGTTAAATTTGTAACATGTGCCAGCAGCTTATGCAGCAAACACACTGCATATGCTTCAACCAACTGGCCTTGTCTAAAAGTCTTGGGGGTCTAGTTGTGAGTCTGACTGCCATGCCAGACTTAAATCCCAGTCCCGGGTGGTTTGACATGATCAGTTGGGTGCTTGAGAGGGTCAGGGTCATAGATCCAATATCATCACAGTCTAGGAATTAGGCCAAGGTCAGTCCTTCAGGTCCAGTGTAACCAGTCTGAGAAGTCACAGTAAGAGTGAGGGAGTTGTGCAGAGATCAGTCAGGGATTTGGTCACTCTTCCAGTCAGGCTAGGTTTCCAAGTCAGTCAGGGCGCAGGCCATGGTCACTCCTGGGGATCTGTTTATTGAATGTCAAGGGGGATTATCAGGGGCCACTGCTGTGGTAGGCAGGTTGGGAAAGTCAACTGTAGAGTTGGAGGCAGCATCTTGGGATGCAAAGGAAGCAAATCAATACAAGGATAGGAGATGATGGAGTGTAAGGGAGGCACAGATTCATTACGGAGTTGGGGGCATCATCACTACCAGTCCGGCTTCAACCGAAGGACAATGCAACACAATTGTTGGCATAACTAAATTGTAGGCTCAGAATTCAGGGGGTAATGTTGAAAGATGAAAAAAAAACTGAAAATAATGCATTGGAATATGATGCTGACAACTAATGGGATCAGCAGGTAATGCAAGGAAGAAAGGAACATGAAGGCTTTTTTTGGGGTAGGCACCCAAATGAACAGGCTGAGCATGTGAGACATTCTGCAAAAAGCTACTTGTGATGTCTTCCATCCTCATCCAAATTACAAATGTGCAATGGAAATGCAAAACATCTGCCACCATACCCAGCATGGATTTTTTTTTCAGAATACATACGAACCACGTATGGACAATGAAAGGCCCTTTGAGGGGCAATTGCATTAATCAGGCAATTACATAGTACGAGTTGAACACATCTGTAATCACAGAACCCAGCATGTGAAACATATGTACTGCCCAGTTATGTTGTATACAAAACCTGTCCACAAGCAATCTTGATCATGTAACTCATCATCACAAACACATCATAATCATTTCTGTGAAGCAGAACTAATCACAGGTGAACTTCAAATAGTGTCACCTATGGGATACAATTCATAAAGACACATTTATACTCAATATTTGACAAGATGCCTTTAAATGCAATGCTGCCTTTCTGGAGGGTTGGGAGAGAAGAGAGGAAACATTCACTAATCCTACCACATGTATAATCTCCTACTGTATCTGCAAAACGTGACATGTATTGCATATATCAGGATAAAGCCACATACAAAGAACCTGTTCTGTTTCTAATATTCCCTACACAGGTTCATTGGAACCTATGCATCCAGTCACAACAGGTGTCTGTAATCAGAAATAAATAAATATTTGTACAATATATAAAATTTTATGCATCCAGTATAAACTAGGCTCTAAGTAAAAAGACTTGCAAATATACAGCAAAATGAGATTCTTCCTCCATAAAGTCTTGAATTCAAACAACTTACCTCAGCATGTTGTTGAGTGGCCATTTGGGATGAAGATTTTCTTACTGAAAATCGTTTCTTCAGAAACTGCTCAGTATTCACAGGTGGGTCGGATTCAATTTGTTTTTTAAATTGGCTGACTAAATGCAATGAATTGTTTGATGCATGTTCCTCTGCCTGTCAATATTATAAAAATGAATGACATTGTTGAATAAGAAAAATTCCTAAAAAGAGGCAGCTTAATAAGGGCCATGTTAGATCATCATTCCCTCCTAGGTTTTTAAGTCATTTGCTATTCAGTTATTTCTCATAAATATTCCAAACCTTCTCCAAAAAACATGTGCAAACATGATAGAACAAAATGACCTAAAACTAACAACACAATAGATCTCATGACTGAAAATATCTACATGAAGTTAATGTCGCTCTGTGCTAAAAGATAACTTGAAATACTATAACATAAACAGCTACACTGTACGCTTCAACATTCGCTTCATTCCACATGCTCATCAGTTCTTCAGTTCTCTGCCCTCAAAGGCAAGTCTAACCCACAATAACATGGCCTCTACCATATATAGGGTAACAAGGCAGGTCCCAAAACTACCCCAGTAGAAATGGTGACCAAATACCGTGCTATTTGCACCAATCAAATCCACAGCCAACTGCGCCAATCGGTGCCAAGGAGCTGCTGTGGCAACATACACTTTTATATGTTGTAGCCTGGAGCTTTGGATCTATAATATTAAGCAATCTAGTTTTTTTTTAAACATAACATGGACAATTGGGAGACTCTCCCAGACTTACAGCCTGCCTTTGGGGTATATTAGACAGAATTGATACTCAACCAACACATGGCCATGTTATGTACATAAATTCCTTAGCCAGCAAATCCTCCAATTGGACTTGAACTCGAAGCCCCTGGCTCACAGATAGAGCTACTATCCACTGTGCCACAAGACCTCCTCCACATATTCCAGACAAAACTTACAAAACATTACTGAAACTAAAATATTTGGACCTTCTTCATCAAGAAAAGTCAACAGCAGAATGAAAATTTAAGTTCACTGTGAATAATTAGTCCACATTTTTTTGGTTACAAAATATAGGGCAGCACGGTGGCTTAGTGGTTAGCACCTCTGCCTCACAGCGCCAGGGACCCAGGTTCGATTCCACCCTCGGGCGACTGTCTGTGTGGAGTTTGCACGTTCTCTCCATGTCTGCGTGGGTTTCCTCCGGGTGCTCTGGTTTCCTCCCACAATCCAAAGATGTGCAGGCTAGGTGGATTGGCCATGCTAAATTGCCCGTTGGGTCTGGTTGGGATACTCTGAGGGTCGGTGTGGACTTGTTGGGCCAAAGGACCAGTTTCCGTACTGTAGGGTTTCTATTAAATAAAATATAGTAATCTTAGGAGAATTGACCAATGTTTTCAAAATAATGAGTGTTCTGGACAGAGTAGATAGGAAGAAAATATTCCCACTCTTAGAAGGATTAACAATGAGAAACACAGACTTAAAAGTGATTTATAAAAGAGGCAAATGCAGAAAAAAAATCTAATTTAGGCTCTGGAATGCACTGCCTGAAAAGCGGTGGAAGCAGGTTCAATTGAGGCATTCAAGAGGGTATTGGATGATTCTTTAGAATCCCTACAACGTGGAATCAGGCCATTTGGCCCAAACTACCCTCCGAAGAGCATCCCACCCAGAACCATCCCTGTAACCCTGCATTTCCTACAGCTAATGCACCTAACCTACATATCCCTGAACACTATGGGTAATTTAACATGGCCAATCCACCTAACTCACACATTTTTGAACGGTGGGAGGAAACCAGAGCATCCAGCAGAAACCCACACAGACGCAGGGAGAACATGCAAACTCCACACAGACAGTTGCCCAAGGGTAGAATCGAACCCAGGTCCTTCGCACTGTGAGGCAGCAGTGCTAACCACTGAGCCACCATGCCATTCCTGGTTGAATAGAAAATGTACAGAGTTAGGGAGAAAAGACAGGAAAAAGGCACAAAAATCATGATGCTCATTCAGAGAGTCTGGAAAACATGATGTCTTCTTCTGCATCGTTACAACTCTGATTCTGTGAATTATTTTGTTACTATGCCCAAATGTCATTACCACAGCCCTTCTTTACATCTTTTTAAAAATATTCAACTTTACATTATAACACTAAAATACACAGTGTACAAAATGATACAGGACATAAGCATGCATAAGAACATAAGAACATAAAAACATAAGAACCAGGAGCAGGAGTAGGCCATCTGGCCCCTCGAGCCTGCCCCATCATTTAATAAGATCATGGCTGATCTTTTTGAGACTCAGCTCCACTTACCCACCCACTCACCATAACCCTTAAGTCCTTCACTGTTCAAAAATTTATCTAGCCTTGCCTTAAAAACATTCAGCGAGGTAACTTCAACCGCTTCACTGGGCAGGGAATTCCACAGATTCACAACCCTTTGGATGAAGAAGTTCCTCCTGACCTCAGTCCTACATCTGCTTCCCTTTATTTTGAGGTGATGCTCTCTAATCCTAGTTTCACCTGCTAGCGGAAACAACCTCCCTGCCTCCACCTTATCTATTCCTTTCATAATCTTATATGTTTTTATAAGATCTCCCCTCATTCTTCTGAATTCCAATGAGTATAATCCCAGTCTACTCAATCTCTCCTCATAATCCAACCCTCTCAACTCTGGAATCAACCGAGTGAATCTCCTCTGCACCCCCTCCAGTGCTAGTATATCTCTTCTCAAGTAAGGAGACCAAAACTGCACACAGTACTCCAGGTGTGGCCTCACCAGCACCTTATACAGCTGCAGCATAGCCTCCCTGTTTTTAAACTCCATCCCTGTAGCAATGGCAGACAAAATTCCATTTGTCTTTTTAATTACCTGCTGCACCTGCAATCCGACTTTTAGCAATTCATGCACAAGGACACCCAAGTCCCTCTGCACAGTAGCGTGCTGCAATTTTTTACCATTTAAAACATAGTCCATTTTCCTGTTATTCCTACCAAAATGGATGACCTCACACTTATCAACACTGTACTCCATCTGCCAGACCTTTGCCCACTCACTTAGACTATCTATATCCCTCTGCAGACTTTCAGTGTCTTCTGCACACTTTGCTCTACCACTGACCTTAGTGTCATCTGCGAATTTTGACACACTACACTTAGTCCCTAACTCCAAATCATCTATGTAAATTGTAAACAATTGCGGTCCCAACACTGATCCCTGAGGCACACCTCTAGCCACTGACCGCCAACCAGAAAAACACCCACTTACCCCTACTCTTTGCTTCCTACTGGTCAACCAATCCTCTATCCATGCCACTACATTACCTGTAATATTGTGGAACTTTATCTTATGTAGCAGCCTTTGGTGTGGCACCTTGTCAAATGCCTTCTGGAAATCCAGATACACCACATCCATAGGTTCCCCATTGTCCACCATGCAAGTAATGTACTCAAAGAATTCCACCAAATTAGTTAAACATGACCTACCCTTCATGAACCCATGCTGGGTGTTCCCAATGGGACAATTTATATCCAGATGTCTTGCTATTTCTTCCTTAATGATAGATTCAAGCATTTTCCCCACTACTGAAGTTAAGCTAACTGGCCTATAGTTACCTGCTTTTTGTCTACTTCCTTTTTTAAACAGTGGCGTCACATTGGCTGTTTTCCAATCTGTGGGAACCACCCCAGAGTCCAGTGAATTTTGGCAAATAATTACTAGTGCATTTGTTATTTCCCCCATCACCTCTTTTAGTAACCTGGGATGCATTTCATCAGGGCCAGGAGACTTGTCTACCTTTAGCCCCATTAGCTTGCCCAGCACTGCCTCCTTAGTGATAATGATAGTTTCTAGGTTCTCGCCTGCTATAACCTTCTTGCCTTTAGTTTTCGGCATGTTATTTGCGTCTTCCACTGTGAAGACTGACACAAAATAACTGTTTAATGTCTCGGCTTTTTCCTCATTCCCAGTTATTACACAGGCCTTCTCATCCTCTAAAGGACCAATGTTTACCTTCGCCACTCTTTTATGATTTATATATTTATAGAAACTTTTGCTGCCTGTTTTTATATTCTGAGCTAGTTTACTCTCATAATCTACCTTACTTTTCTTTATAACTTTTTTTGTAGCTTTCTGTTGGCCTTTAAAGATTTCCCAGTCTACTAGTTTCCCACTACTCTCTGCTTTTGTGTATGTGTTTTTTTTTTCAATCTGATACGTTCCTTTATTTCCTTCGACATCCATGGCTGGCTCTCTCTTTTCCTACAGTTCTTCCTTATCACTGGAATATACTTCTGCTGAGCACTGTGAAAAATTGTTTTGAAAGTCCTCTACTGTTCCTCAATTGACCCACCATAAAGTTTTTGCTCCCATTCTACCTTAGCTTACTCCTCCCTCATTCTTTCATAGTCTTCTACTGGAGACATAGTCTGCCACTGATGTTCTCCTCCACATGAGTTATCTACGTAGTTTTCAAACTCAGGAGGAGCAGCTTGTACATGCTGCTCCACTTCTTTCCCTTCCAAATGGAAAAGCAGAAAGATACAATTACTCAATTTATTTTTCTTATTTCCCCATTTCGTATGAACAGAATTTGTTTGAGTCAACAGACTTGTAGCTCAATGTAGAAATCAGGATGCAAAGTGTTTTTTTCCTCATCAATATTGCATTGAATCAGAGGACTATACATAGTTCATCCTCCATAAATATGGGGATACATGGGGGAGCATAGAGGTGGCAGGGGAGGTAAAAAAGGAGGAAAAGGTGCCAAGTGAGGTTTAGGATTCTTTCAATACCATTAAGAGCTTGAATACTTCATTGGAAATTCGAGGCAATCCTTCCAACCAACCTACATCTGTTTCTACACACCTGCAGCATGGCATGCAAACTATGCTATGAACCTGACCCTGGTGTAAAAAGACAAAAATAGCATGTTGGAAATGCATTGGGTGTAGTTTGAGAACAATGGAAGTGTGCAGGGCGTGTTTTCCTGAACTAAGATGAAGATTAGTTAAACAGTTTTATTTGTAATCAACATATAACTAAAAAACTGAGTGAAACACAGAGCAGGAGAAAATGTCAGAGAAAATTTAAGATTGAGGTTTTGCTGATGTTCATCAAAACCCCTGTGAGAGGTGTGTTTTCAT